TTAATAAGCATTTCACTTGGATATAAATCAGTGGTTTGAGAGTATTTGAAATGCACTGAACCAGCTGAATCAGAGGCTGATTTTTTAAAAATTACAGCATGTGAGGGGGCATCTGGGTGGATCACTAGCTTGAGTGTCCAACTTAGGCTCAGGTCATGATCTCATGGTTCATGAGTTCGAGCCCTGTGTCAGGCTCTGTGCTGACAGCTCGAAGCCCAGAGCCTACATCTAATTTTGTCTCCCTCTCTCTCTGCCCCTCACCCTCTCATGCTTGCTCTCTCTCTCTCTCTCTCTCTCAAAAATAAATATTAACTTTTTTTTGTAAATTACAGCATATGTAATTTTGAGAAATGGCTGATGCCTTTACATTAGAAACAAGTCTAGTGACGATATCACCATGTGAAACAAATCTCCGCCTTAGACTCCGATGTAATCGGGAAGCCAGTTCCTATGCTAACAGTACTCTTGGCTTCCGGTCTCTCCGTGTAAGTCCTTACCCTCTCACCAATGTCCAGACACTGACCGAGAGTCCAGGGAAGGCACAACAAGGCAGGATTATTGAAATAAGAAATGTGGTTACATCATAAACGTGAGTGGAAAGGAAAAAAGGAACAGAAAGCTTGTCAGGAAAGATGACAGACTGGACCTGCCCTGTGTCTTTCAGAAACTCTTATCTGCTACAGAGAGATGGGCCCATTAGAATAGATAAGGAAATGGGATCTTTTTAAAACCATCATCATCGTCATCATCGTCATCATCATCGTCATCATCGTCATCACCATCACCTTTCCTCCACTGATGCCAGGTAATACTTCTCGAATGAAACAGGAGTTGGGGGAGTTTTCCAAGTGTCTCTCTTCCCGTTCATTAATTCCCTAACTTGGTTATTTAAAGACCTCCTTGTAGATATTCCATTCACAGAGAGACAAGCTAAGAAAAGAAGGCTTTACAGGACTCACAAGCCAGGATGTTGGAAGGTCTATGCAACTAGAGGTCTTAAAAATAGAACACGTGTAGACAAAATGAAAATGATGCCTACACTCCCCCCTTCCCTGGGGATCGGGCTGAGCCTGCTGGGTGATGTGCTGACCGAAGCCACCAAGAAACCGAGACAGTAAGCAGGTGCCTTCTCAGATCTTGGTGGACTTACTATTTTCTCATCCCTGAAAAAGCGAGAATGGATTCGCTTTGAATTATCAGCCTCAATGTTAATCATGTAGATGGTTAAATGTACTCTTTGCAGATAATGCAGAACTGAAATATCCTGGCCTACCTCTTAGAAGTGAGAGGCTCCAACAGCATAGACTCAATGAAGCATTTTACAAACTTAGAGTAACTAAGGATTTATATGCAGAAGACGTGTCATCAGACATCAGCAGATCCTGAAAGGCCAAAGTTCCAAAAGGTATAGACAGTGAATTCTGGTCAACTGTTTAACCAAGATGACTACTTATAATCAAATCTGGGGAACTAAAAGCCACTGCCTCAAAAATAAATCACTGTCATTAATCTTTGGCAAATAACCATGTGATGACAGACTATTGGGAGAGGTTGGATAAGTCTACTAAAGACGGATGAAAACACAGCGAGTGTTCAGACTGAACAAGATGGGTCTTAACCGTCAAGGGGTCATGAAACTAAGAGGTGCCCACTCTGCCAGGGGCCTCCTATCACTACATTTCTGTCTTATGTTCAAGGGACTGCAGTCCCCGTCAGTCATTAAGTGCTCTATTATGAATAGAAGATCACAATTTGAAAATACACTGTGCTTCACTGGTAGAATAGTCTGTTAAAAAATGTGCACGGGCACCAGCCAATGAGGCCCGGGTAGGGCTGGGAGTCTGGCTGTGGTGGGAGGAACATGGGGCCAGTGGAGCTGTCTGAACCCCCGCTGCCTGCTGGGTTATCTGGGCAATTCCCGAGACTCTGAGCCTATGGTTTCCATAGAATGAAGGGAAATAATTCCAGGACATCTGAGATGATAATAACGATTCCTTCCAGGCACTGATACTCATAAAATCTTAAAGCTTCGGGGACATGAGAAGCTGTTGTGACAATGTGGTGGATGGTGCCTCTTGCAGCCCAGTGCTGCCTCCAAACCTGTATGTCGTATTTCCACTCTCAATCCCTATTGAGGGTTTCCACAAGACAATGTATGTGAAAGCACACAGCTGGTGCTCAATAAATGGGGAGAGTGCTTTTCTCACTTTCATCGTGGCTGTCTCAAGAATTAATCCTGAGGGCACTGAGAGGAGGGCAGTGAAGGCACGCTTTAGCCTTTTACGGGACCAGGGGAGGGTCCAGTTTTATTCAAGCCTTGGGGGACTGCCCTTGCCATGTGGCCAGCGAGGGGTACTTAGAGCACGTGCTGAGTCCCGGGACCCAGGCAGGTCTGGTTTCAGAGGAGCCACATCCCATACGGAGGTAGCAGAGGACATGCATCCTGTGCTCCATCTAGTTGCTGAATTGAGAAACCCTAATTTCCCACCAATTCTCCATCCAAACAAAATAAACAACCCATTTGCTGACTCTACCATGCAATTCTTTCAGCAAATGACTCTGGAATAGGTTCTGGGTTGATGGATAATCCGCAGAAGCATGAGGGATGTTGCCAGATTGGAAGAGAAAGGGAAGAGAAATAAGAATGATTGGTAATCAGTTTTCCCACGTCACACACAGGGGAGTCCCACAAACAGTTCTGTTCCACCGTTTCCCAAATGGCCTGACATGGCAGCTCGTGTGGCGCCACTCCCAGCATGGGGGCCCCCATGTAATTCTCTGTAGCAGTATTTTTCCTTAAGAAGCTCTTAATGTCAGAATTTAAATATGATTTGAATACTTCATTCTTAGTTTATAATGGGAAGAGTTAACACAGGTCAAGCACATTAGTGCTAACTGTCCAGACTGTTACGTTTTTTCATTGATCTTTGTTTTCCTCTATTTTATTCAAGCCTTTGATTTAAAGCAACTATTAAGAAGGTATGAATTCATTTTTTTTTAAATTTAAACTCAAATTAGTAACATATAGTGTAGTAACTGGTTTGGTCATAAGAAGGAAGTATATAGCATTCCAGGCATTCCTACAGAAGGAAGAAAGGCCTCAAATACACAACCTAAAACCTTACAGCTAAAGAACTGGAAAAAGAACAGCCAATAAAGACCAAAACCAGCAGAAGAAGGGAAATAATAAATATTAGAGTAAAAATCAATGATATTGAAATAAAAAACAAACAAATAGTAGGCGAGATCAATGAAACTAGGAGCTGGTTCTTTGAAAGATTTAATAAAATGGATAACCCCCTAGCCAGTATCAAAAAGAAAAAGGAAAGGACCCAAATAAATAAAATCATGAACGAAAGAGGAGAGACCACACCAACACTTTAGAAATAGAAACAATTACAAGAGAATATTATGAGCAACTATATGCCAACAAATGGGGCAATCTGGAAGTAATGAATAAATTCCTAGAACCAAATAAGCTAGCAAAAGTGAAACAAGAAGAAATAGAAAATTTGGACAGACCCATAACTGGTAAAGAAAGGGAGTCAGTAATGAAAAATTTCCCAACAAAAAGAGTCCAGGGTTGGAGGGCTTCCCTGGAGAAGTCTACCAGGCATTTAAAAAGGAGTTAGTACCTATTCTTTTGAAGCTATTCCAAAAAGTGGAAATAGAAGGTAAAACTTCCAAACTCATTCTATGAGGCCAGCATTCCCTTGATTCCAAAACCAGACAAAGAACCCACTACAGACCAATGTCTTTCACGAACATGGATGCAAGAATTCTCAACAAGATACTAGCAAACTGAATCCAACAGTATGTTGATAGAATTATTCACCACAATCAAGATTTATTCCTGGGCTGCAGGACCGATTCAAGATCTGCAAATCAATCAACGTGATATATCACACTAATAAAGAAAGAGTAAGAACCATATAATCCTCTCAGTGTATGAATTCATTTTTCTTCTTTGTTTTAAATTCTTTTTTAAAGCTTATTTATTTATTTTGAGAAAGCCCTCTGTGAGCATGAGCAGGGGAGGGGCAGAGAGAAGGAGAGAGAGTCCCTAGCAACATCCAGGCTTTCAGCGCAGAGCTCGACACAGGGCTCAGTCTCGCAACCTTGAGGTCACAACCTGAGCCGACATCAAGAGTTGACTACTTACCCTACTGAGCCACCTAGGCGCCCCTTTATTTTCACTTTATTCATTCATTAGATTCTTAGTTTATGCAAATTCCCATTTTGTGTACCTTGTTCTATAACTTATAGATACAACTGTCTAAATTAATTAATTATTAAAAGCTGGAGTTCACAAAGCTGAAATCCATTTGTCCATATGAAAACTTATCTGTTTTCTAAATCTAGAATTTAGTATTTTGTTTCCAAATTTGAAAAATGTACTTGCTAGTATGTCTGGCTCTGGCTGAAAATGTTCCCATAGTGAGCCAACTTTATCAATTTTAGACATTCTTGTATGGTCAAATTCTTATTAGGATAACCAAGCCATCAACTGTCATGTGAAATTCTTCTTCCTGACAAGCTGTTTCTAGTCATTTCCACCATGATTTGCATAAAACTCCTGTAGTTTCTGGGTGAATTTCAATATAGGACTTCGCCATAAATTTGAGCAGGACCATTTGACCAAAACCTCAGTCTGTATCACAGTATTTTCAAGCTAAGCTTCTATTTCTCATCACCAACATGACACACAGAATTTGAGTGACTTTCACTTGAATAACCTCAAATCATAAAACTACTCTTTATCAAATCACAGCTTGGGTGGAAAGCAGAACCCGATTCACTAAGTGCCTTCCTCAGAGCAAAGTGCTTAGAGGGAGGGATTAGAGAAGGCAGGACATGCCTTCCGGGGACACTCGGGCCACTGCCCTCCTCTCTCCCTCTGGGGACAGGGCTGCCCGCCAGGCCGTGGTGTGGACCCGTGAGTGCAGTTGCCCGTGGCCCCTCGGAGCCCTCCACCAGGCGAGGCGTGAGACATGACCTACCCCCTCCGCAGGAGACGGAACACTCGGAGCGGATGACGGCCCACGTGTATCGAGGCTGGCCACCGGGCTTCTTCTCACCCCGAGACCGGGGCACCGAGTACTCCCAGGCCACGCCCGGGTTCCTGCCCTGAAATAGAAGCTATAAAATAAAAAGAGGGGAAATAGAACAAGTTAAAACGGACCTGATAAATATAAGTTAATTTTTAAATAGTACTTAAACAACAATATCAACAAACAGCTGGCTACGATGACAAACACCCTCCGTCCTCTAAAATGTATGTGAACTTTCTACACGGAAGCGACTGCTCAAGGAGAATCAAGCACACCTAGAAAATGTAGACATTCGACTCGTCCACCTTACGTTTCGTGTCTTCCTCTCTGCAAGGCTTCAGACACTCCTGGAACCTAAGCCAGGTACCTGGTTCCTTCCCCCCAGCATTTCCTTGGGATCCTCTGCAAGTCCTGCCTGTGTGAGCGGGTCGGAAAGCAATGCCTATAAATCACTCTCACACCGCCTGGTGGGTCCCAAACAGCCAGTTCCAAGCATGTCAGCCATGCCACCCATCGAAGCTACGTCCGAGAGTACTTGCTAGTGTGACTGGATGCAGGGGTCTTTTGCCAACTGGCACATTCCAGGAAAAAAATATCTGATCAGTAAAGATCTCTCTGGTTGAATCTATCTTAGCACCTTGATTTGGACACTTCACCTTGTCTACTCAAACCTATGGACCTTTTCCACTCATGAATGTATCAGATCTACTGATCTCAGGGAGAAGGCTTTTTATTTTGGAAACCTCCCCATTAAATCAGTGGACAGAAATCCCATCTCTGAGCCTGAGTGCCCATACTGGTCCTGATGTGATGTTCTGGGGGGTAAAGACACTGGCCCTTCTCTGACCACCTGGCACCACATTCCCCTGCCTGACAGCACAGCTCAGGTCTGAGTTGATGGAGGCATTGTAGGATAGTTACAAACTCCGGACAGGGGGCTGCATGGTGAGGCCCCAGAGACGCTCTCCTGTCTGGCTTCCTGAGCCTCTGCGAATCTTCCTCCATCCGAAACAGTTCCTAATAAGCCACACTCACCTTCGCCCTTGACCTATCTCTGTTCTGTGCCATTATTAAAGCTAAAGCCTGAGCTGGTGGGAGAGAAATCATCGAGGCAAGAATTCAGGGTGAATAAGGTGAAAAGAGCAGCTCAGAGTCAGGACGGGAGGCCAGAGGGGGGAGGTGAGCCGATGGGACACCTGCCCCCTGCCCCCGGGGAAGCGTCTCCCAGGAAGATACAAGAGGACAGGAGGAGCTGCCTGGCCCCAAGAGTGGGTGGGGTCGGGGCGTCTGGGTGGCTCACATCTCCATTCTGGCTGTAGGCTGAAGGGACAACTTTTGAACCAAGTACTTTAATTGTGCACAGAAAGACAAAAAGGTGGGGTGTTAGCATGTCCAGCGTCTGTCACCTCCATCTGCCCAGCCTCATGGGGGCAGATTATGTTGCAGGAAGAGCCTAACGGCAGCCTCGGGGCCTCTGCAGTCGTGGGCCAGGAGGCGGCTGTGTGGCCCCTTCCCTGCACACGGGGACCCATGTGACATCACAGCTGGGACTTTGCTTCTGGGCTCTCACCCCGCTCCCATTCCACAGGACCCAGCAGAGTCCCCCGAGCGTGCCGACTGCTCACAGCCACACAGCGTACAGGAGAGGGGCAGACTTTTGTAAAATCCGGCTCATAAAGACCCAACACGGGAACTGCGTGATGTGTGTATCTACAAACATGATTAAATGCCAAGGAATGAAAGCTAACAAGTCCACTGCCCCCTTCAACGTACAGATTAGTCTTGTTTCGGATACATTATCAAGCTGTAATCCTTATTCTGCGTACTTGAAGTTTATGCCAATAGCCTTCGACCTGCAACGATGCCAGGAGGCCCCCAGTCCCAGCCCGGAAATGAGAAGGCTGCCGTCTACCTCCACAAGCAGCGTTTCGTTGGTTGGCCCAGAAGAGGCCAAACTCTCCGGCTCATGGGAGGATCGTCTGTACTCAAACGCAGTGCCTGCAAACTCGTATCGGCCTGGCCGGTCCACAGTCCAGTGTCCGTTCAGGTAGTATTTTCTGAGGGCATTGCGCACAGAGATGTAGGAAGTGGACACGTTCATTTCACGGATGTGAATACTCCGGGCTCCAGAAGGAATGGTGACCATCTGGTAATACTCTAGAGGAAACCGGAGTGGGAAGAAGGTGGTATTTCATTCAATACTGCCGAGCCCAACTCCCTACGCTGGGGTTCCCCACAACTAAAACCTGAGAACCCACACTGGGAACCAGGAGGATTTTGGCAATCAGTGCCACAAGGCCTTTAAACAACTTCTTTTCTTGTCTTTTAATTAAAGAAGAGCTATTGTAATATTTCATTGCTCCTAAGACCCACTTTAATTCAAATAATCTAGCAACCACCTCCCACCAAAAGGAAAGGCTCGGAGGCACCGGGGTGGCTCAGTCGGTCGAGTGTCTGACTCTTGATTTCAGCTCAGGCCATGATCTCATGGTTCATGGGATTGAGCCCCATGTCAAGCTCCACACTGTCAGCAAGTAGCCTGTTTGGGATTCTCTCTCTCTCTCCCTCTCTCTGCCCCTTCCCTGCTCATGCTCTCTCTCCCTCTTTTTCAAAATAAATAAATAATCTTTTTTAAAAAGTGATTGGGGTGCCTGGGTGGCTCAGTTGGTTAAGTGTCTGACTTTGGCTTAGGTCATGATCTCACAGTTTGTGGGTTTGAGCCTTGCATCGGGCTCTGTGCTGACAGCATGGAGCCTGCTTGGGATTGATTCTCTCTCTCCCTCTCTCTCTCTCAAAATAAGTAAACTTAAAAAATTTAAAAAAAAATAAAAGAAAGGCTTGACGGGAGGAGCAGGGAAGGAGACTGTAAGTCTCTTCAGGACCGTTGATGCCTGCTATTGCCATGGTCTCCCTCAGGTCTCCCTCCAGGGGGCGCTGGTTTATATCTCCTGCACTCAACACCTGCAGGTGGCTCCGCGTACTCACGGTTGGCACCGTGGTGCTTGGCGTAGAGCCCCTTGTGTGTCGTGCAATCTGAGTTATTCCCCCTGCACACACCACAGGAGTCTTCCACAGCGTCCGATCCAAGCACGTTGTCACATCCCACTCTCTGGGGGACCGGGACCACACGTCATTCGTGAAAGAAAAGACGACAAGAGCAAAGTCACAAACCTCCAGTGAGAAATGTCCCCACTCCAGCAGAACACTTCACAGACACAGAGCAGTTAACAAATATTTATTGGATACCAAATATGTGCACAGCAAGACTGAAGCTCTACGCTCAGGTCCAAAGAAGGAAACCTTGATCGCTGTTCTCTTCCGTATTGCTACATGACCTTAGTATCCTGAGCCCTAGATTACGGGGTGCCTGAGGGGCTCAGTTATGCGTGACACTTGGTTTCTGCTCAGGTCATGATCTCATGGTTTGTGAGTTCGAGCCCTGCACTGGGTTCTGCACTGAGCATGAAGCCTGCTTGGGATTCTCTTTCTCTCTCACTCTCTCTGCCCCTTCCTTGCTCTCTCTCTCTCTCTCTTTAAAAATAAATAAATATTAAAAATTTAAAAAACCTGAGCCCTAAATTAAATCTATCAGATTGTCATATTGGAGATTAATGGTAAAGTTCAGATGGACACAAAGCTCTTAGTGCAGGTGACAAGCAATGTGTCCCCGTGAGGGTCCCCTGTAATGTGCTGCTGTGCCTGAGTCACCATGAGCAATGGAGAGAAGTAATACATACCGCCTGGGAATTATCCCCAGCAGTAAATTATGTAAAGGGCAGCTTTGTTCATTGTCTTAGAATTTTCGGCACCTTTATAATTTCTCTGGTGCTACACTGCTACACTTCCTAACAAGGAGTTCAGGAGGTACGTGTAAAAAACCCATTCAGAAACAAAAGAACTATCGTCCACAATTCCCTGGTCAGAAACCCTTACGGTCAGATGCATTTCGGAATCCAGAGGTTTTTTTGATTTTAGGAAGGGAATTAACGTATTTTGCACGTGATGTGAGAGTCCAAGCAGGGCCCAGGGTAGCATGCAGTAAAACGCATAAAGGACTTTTATACGGCCAAATGCGTACATCCTCACCCGAAGTGAGATCGATAAAACTGACAAAGAGCCTCACGTCAGCTGAGGGCAGGTGTTCGCCAGCAAACAGATGCAGGGCAGCCTCTACTGGGCAGCCCGGTAAGTTTTCTGTGTGACGGCTTTTTGGATTTCAGAACTACATTTAGGGGACTGTGACACTGGGTCATAAAGAATACCTGAAAATAATGAAATATTTAACAAGTCCAATAATCCTTAGACAAAATGGACAGAAACTTGAATGTTTTATTTTTTTTTAATTTATTTTTTTTAATGTTTTTATTTATTTCTAGGAGAGAGACAGAGACAGCGCGAGCAGGGGAGGGTCAGAGAGAGGGAGTCACAGACTCCGAAACAGCCTCCAGGCTCTGAGCTGGCAGTCAGCACAGAGCCCGACGCGGGGCTAGAACCCACGAACCGCGAGATCATGACCTAAGCGAAAGTCGGACGCTCAACCGACTAAGCCACCCAGGCGCCCCGAACGTTTTAAAGCTGAAAGAGACCTCGAAAGAACTGAGTGTGATCTTCACCGACTAAAAAGGATTACCCTGCGTGTGCCTCCGTGGATAACTCGACTTGACCACGGTCATCCCCCTTGGAGGAAACCAGAACGGATGACCGAGGTGCTTGGACCCCGTGAGTAGCACACTGAGTGATTTCAATGAAAAGCCCATCATTTATATGCAATGTATGTGGCACGTGATCTGGTAATGCCTTCACTTTGCGTAGAACGGAATTCCTTCCCCGTCTCACCCCTGCCCACCACAGCTCTACGGCCACTTAGCCACCAACTCTTTTCCCGTCTGTCTTCCAAGTCCCTGCACGATGCAAAGTGACCTCCGGGCTCGAAGCTGCCCCTGATTCCTCTACCGTCCAAGCCGCCACGCGTGCTGCTCCTGGCCGAGCCTGCCCCCCGGCTCCTCCCGGTCCTAGGGTCTGCTCCCCCAGGACAGGGGGATAAAAGCCCTCCGTGCACCCCTTCTTGCTCCCTCACCTCCCTCGGCACCCCTGCCTTGCCTGCCCTCTGGGTGCTCGAGGCCTGGGTCGGGTCCCACCAGCCCACACCTTCTGGCACGACCCTGTTCCCAGTGGGCTCCCCCACACCCCCGGGCGCCAACTCACCCTTCCCCGTCTAGCTCGGAAGCTCCCTTCTCCAAGGAGCCCCGCAAACCCCCCAGATCCGCATCGGGGAGAGAACCCCCCCTGCTCCCCGTCCTCCATGGGCACCTCCACGGGGACAAACCACCGTGCATCCTTGTGCGTGTTCATCCGGCTTCCCCCCCACCCGGCTGTGAGCGGGAGGGAAAGGGCGGGATTTAAACATCCGGTGTCTTTAGCCCCTCAGAGGAACGCCTGACACAGAGCGGACTGTCTGGAGACGTGCGTTGAACGAATGAACGATCATTATTACCTCACATATCCCATCTATACAAACATTACGGCTATCCTCCGAGCAGGGGGTCCCATCTGTGACTTTATTTGACAAAGAAAAGAAGAAATCAAATCCTTCTGCGATACAGTAGAGTTTGCATAAGTGCTGATCTTAAAAAGAAATACACACACAAACACAAATAAGAAAGATACTTAAGCTCTGATCATTTTTGTTCTAAATTTTAGATAGACTTTTTTTTAAGGTTTTTCTTTTCTTTTCTTTTTTTTTTTTTTTTTGCCCATAAAATAAGTCCCACACAATATCCATTGCAAAGACATTTTTGATGGCTGTCTCCTGAGGCTTGGTTTTCCCTTTAATTTTGAATTTGCATAAGGCTTCACTCTTCGTTTTTACTCTATTGTGTCATTTACTGTCCTTGTTCTTTCCTCAGTGGTTGGCACATAGTAGGCATTCAATAAATATTTGTTGACTGGAGCTACAACATCACTATTTGACTATTTTACTATTATGATGAGCTATTCTCTTGCAGAAATGCAAAAGGTCATTACTATTTTGTAGCAATATACACAATTCTCACAAGAAAAATGTAATAGAAGAATTCAAATGGTCACCAATTTCTTAAAAGCTAGTGCATTCGGGACACCTGGGTGGCTCAATTGGTTAAGCATCTGACTTCGGCTCAGATCATGATCTCACAGTTCGTGGGTTCAAGCCCCACGCCAGGCTCTGTGCTGACAGTTCAGAGCCTGAATTCTGCTTCAGATTCTGTATCTCCCTCTCTCTTTCTGCCTCTCCCCTGCTCACACATTCTGTCTCTGTCTCTCAAAAATAAATAAACACTAAAAAAAATTTTTTAGAAGCGAATGCATTTGATGAAATTTATAATATTTTTAAACTGATAAAAGGAATAACTTTTAGATGAAATCTCCAGAGAATGATGTTTTCTATGAACACAATGATTATCAATGAAATACTGATATGTGGAGAATGTAGGTATCACTGTACACTTAAAAGTGGCAGATGGGGGCACCTGGGTGGTTCAGTCGGTTAAGTGTCCGACTTCAGCTCACGTCATGATCTCACGGTGCATGAGTTTGAGCCCCGCATCGGGCTCTGGGTTGACAGCTCAGAGCCTGGAGCCTACTTCGGATTCTGTGTCTCCCTCTGTCTCTGCCCCGCCCTCCGTTCACACTCTGTCTCTCTCTCTCTCTCTCTCTATCTCTCTCTCTCTGAAATGAATAAGCCTTAAAAAATTTTAAAAAAGTGGCAGATCAAGTCAACCTCTTCTCTTGATAATCTATTTCAAATATTTTATGATTTATGTAATTAATGTGGACTTCTAGAGAAACTTTTTTCTCTTCGTTCTTCTTAGTAAAAAAGGGAAGACTTGATGAAAATATAGTCTGCCTTAGGAATTTTCATGGACTCCAGACTTATCCACAAATATTTTCTTTATCGTATAAGATGAGACCCCATTGAATAATCCTAAGAATCGAATTGAGTACGTGCTTATGTGATTGTATTTATTTCCTGAGACAGCAAAATCCTGAAGAGCACACATGCTTTGGACCCCATTTCAAAATTCTTTCTCCTTTTTCTCCTGCCTACCTATTTCTCACTGGCTTAAATTTTACCGAGTTTAGGATTTAAAAACACTACTGAAAATGCTTTGTATGAAACTGCTTAAAGTTTTCCTTCCAGAATTCACTGACTTCATAAAGCTCTTACCATGAAAACATGGTATCTATTGGGCTGCAGAAGGAGAAGAGTAATGTCAGATGAGATTTATTTATTTCTTAGGTGTTGCTTGGACAGGATTCCCAGTTTTAAAGGGTGAGGTGACTAGGTGTTCTTTGAATTTCTCCTTAAATTATGCCAATTGAGCTACCAAGTTCAAGTTCTTTCAATCTTAAGAATAATACACACTTCTCTCAAACTGGAGAATAAAATCGTACATATGGTACAAATAAACTTCTTGGTTTAGAATAACACTTTTGAATATAATATACTTGAAGATCATCTTACTTTCCAAAAGATGCTAAACTTTTTCTTTCATTCTCTGGCAACTCTAAGTGTTCAGTGGGTGACATGTTTATAGCAACATCACCATCCACTGTTGTGATTTGTAACTAAAAAGCACTGATCCATTATCAATAAGTCACCTATTTTGAATGCTTTATCACTTCTTTGAAGATTTTATGGTATTATGTAAGCGTTCTCTATCTGCTTGCTAATTTCTGCCCCAGTGGCCATGGGGCAGGCAGAAGAGCCTGTGACAATGACCTCACACAGCAATGGGGTCTATCCGAACACCACACTTCCAACCATGTAATTCTTTAAAGAGTTTTCAGTCATGTAATTCTTTCAAGCACGAGGCTGTTACTAGAAGGAGGGAGTTAAGACTTACCTTGGACTTGAGTGTACGGCTTCCAGGTGTAGTGCCGTCCTCGGAACCGTTTGCTATTGTACTCGGCACACTGTACCGCACGGAAGTCAGCGCTGTTGTGGGGACACTTCTGACTGTTGCACAGCCTCAGAGTCCGAGCCGAGCCCTCACAAAACTTCCCTCCATGCGATGGTCTGGAACATACATTTCACAGTTAGAAAGCCTATATTTGGGGCGCCTGGGCAGCTCAGCTGGTGGAGAGTCCAGCCTCAGCTCAGGTCACGATCTCATGGTTCATCAACACAGAGCCCGTTTTAGTTCCTTGGTCTCCCTCTCTCTCTGCCCCTCCCCCGCTCACACTCATGCTCTCCCCACGATGAATACACACACACACACAAAAAAAAAGAAAAGAAGAAGAAAATGTTCTACCTTTAATAGCTACTCTCCCCTCTCTGGAAATTAGGCTTATTGAAGAGCTGAGCAGACCCTGTTACGTCATTTACAGGGACCAACTAGTGTACTTCTAAGGGGCATGGCACTGTCTCACCTTTAACAGCATGGGCAGTGTTATTTACAGTATCGGTAGAGCAAGTTAGGGTGTGGAAATGGATCTGCCAGCATCTGTTCACCCTCACCTCCCAGCACCCCTGCAGAAAGCAGGGTGACATTACTGTTCTGCACTCCATAGAGGAGGGACCACTAAGTGAGGGTGGCTCGCCCAGAACTCCACGGTTCACAGCCGGCAGAGCTGAGACTGACATTCAAGGACTTCGCTTTCCAAACGGCAACTTCTTTCCACTACCAGTTAGTTTCCTGTGGCAAGGCCAGGACGCCAGGTTGGGTCCGAAGGACCAGTCACCTCCCACGGGTCGGTGCGGGCAAGAAACACCCCAGCTCAGCCCCTTGAACTCATGGGGACGCACCAGGACCAGGGCATCCTGTACGATGTGGGGGGGACCTACTGGGTGTCACACGTTAAAGACGGGACCAGAGAGCTGTGATGTGACTCCTGTTTTAAACAAACTGAGGCATGAAAGAGGATCTGGAACCTCCTCCGGCCCAGTGCACTGGGGACAGCTTCTGGCGTCCATGTCTTCTCGTCCAAGGTCACAGTTAAACTACATGTTGCAAAGGTGAATATATTTCATGAAGAACCAATTGTCTAGCTTTATTTTTTAACATGAAAAAAATGGTTCTTACTGCTTCTTATTCATTTGTGTGCTCTACAGCTTCATGATTTATATATGTATATATTTAATTTATTTTTATGAGTTTTTTAAATGTTTATTTTTGAGAGAGAGAGAAGGGGAGGGAGGGGCAGAGAGAGAGAGAGACACACAGAATCCAAAGCAGGCTCCAGGCTCCGAGCTGTCAACACAAACCCCAACGTGCGGCTCGGACCCACGAACCGTGAGATCATGACCTGAGCCGAAGGGACACATTTAGCCGGCTGAGCCACCCAAGCGCCCCTATGTATTTATTTTAAGCAGACCCTTGGTTTTTCACATAAAAGAGGTTGAAATCCATTTCCCGAATATCACTAATGGATCTGTCACCCCCTGCTATGGTCAGGTTAGCTTCAAGCATCTGAAATTGTACCATGGTGATACCATTGAGACATACTTGCCTGCAACGACTTTCCTACTCAGTGATGCTTTTTAATTCCAGCACAGTTAACGGACACTGTTACATTAGTTTCAGGTGTGCAATATGGTGCCTCGGCACTTCCGTACATCACCCAGTGCCCGTCACAAGTTCACCCCTTCACCCCCATCACCTGTTTCACATCCGCTCCCCCACCTCCTCTCTGGTGACCGTCGATGTGTTCTCTGTAGTTCAGAGTCTGTTTCTTGCTTTCTCCCTCTCTCTTAGTCTTCCCCTTTGCTTGTTTGTTTCTTAAATTCCACACAGGAGCGATATCGTACAGTATCTGTCTTTCTCTGACTGACTTATTTCACAGAGCATCATACTCCCGAGCTCCGTCCATGTGGTTACACTTAGCCGGCGATCCCTACAACACCATGTGATGAACAGATCGATACTACTGCATTTAGGTCCACATGCTGCTTGGAAGATTCGCAGCACAGAAATTGCTCGTGAGGAAGGAAGTGAGGACGTACTTACCTGGGGTTTGTGCACAAGCGGTCTCTGTGAGACACCCCCCCTCCGCAGGTCCTGGAGCAAGGGGACCAGGCAGACCAATCTGCCCAATGGCCATGGGTGGGCTTGGGGCCCTGGTCACCAAATTTCACACACTGTCCTCCCCGGCACCACTAAAAATTAAGAAAGAGAAAAAAAGGCTGATGTGACTCATGGCTGGGTAGGCAGGTCCATCACTGCTGTGATGCTCGGCCATGAGGAGCTCGGGAGAACACGCAGATGTCAACATCTGACCTTCAGGCAGCATATGGTGCAAATACAGTGAATGTTGCTTCTCCTTCCTTCCCAAACCTAGCCTGGTTTACAAATCGCCACAGAGGGAAGATCCACAGAAGAACCGTTTCCTAGCGCCCGAGCTGCCGGAATGCAGCATAGTTAATTAAGTGGTGTTGTGCAAATGTTCAGCCCGATCGTTCAGCTCGTGGGTGAGTGAACTCCAATCTCTCCGAGAACAACGTGCTTTTCTTATCTCTTTCAGAGCAGACGGAGTCTTGGGCAGAAACGTCCAGCTGGACGTTCCCTGTGACTCAACATCTTGTCATTTCTGGCCAAGGCTCTGCGCCTTCACGCCCAAACACCTGGGCTCAAGCCTGGAGCCTGGAGGTTACAGAGGATGCGGGGGTCAGAGGTTACACTGCTTCCTAAGGACATGAAACAGCCCACACTGAGCTGCAGGTGTCCCCATGAGGCTGTCCTTTCTCAAGAGGAGCGCTCATCGATGTCAGTTCATGCTCAAAGCCACGTGCTGTCTTTGCTTCCGTCACACGGAAGGCTACACAGCATCTCCGTGGTGTTCAATGGTGCTGGTTTTCTACCCGGGGTTTGGTGTAGACTTCAACGAACTTCAGGCCATCTGTTGAGAGGAGAAAAGGAAGTGCTCATCCCTTGCTGCTGGCCCGCATGGACCAGCAGAGCCTGGCCAGAGGGCTGGGGGGTGAGGGGTGGGGTGAAGTCCTCTCCTGTCTGTCTCTGAGAGTAGGGCCACCAGATTTGTTCTGAGAGAAAATACGGTACTATACAAGAGGAAAATAACAATACTTCAATTATTCATTGTTGTGTTGGGTGAAGACATATCACACGGCTGCTATCTGACCACCGTTGGCATGCAGAAATGGCGTGGGACTTGAACATAAGAAATTCTGAGCACTGAAACCTCATCCATTTAATTTTTTGATTCTCCCCTAGAAGCAAAAAGTCTCTTTTGTCACCCCCTGTCCTCACCCCAGGTGACAGAACAAGTCCTCAGGTCCCCCTGACACCCTCAGCTCAGTGAGGGGCATGTAGATGACAGCAGGGCGCCTGCTCCCCAATGGCCTTGAGTGAGAGAAGAGAAGCAGATGGCTGGCTCCTGCGGGCTCTGGGCAGGGCCCTGGAGCCGGGAGTGACGGGGAGGGACGGGGAGTGAAGGGGAGGGACAGAGAGGGAAGGGGAGGGACGGGGAGGGATAGGGAGGGACTAGGAGGGAAGGGGAGGGAAGGGGAGGGAAGGGGAAGGACAGAGAGGGGAGGGGCGGGGAGGGACAGAGAGGGGAGGGAAGGGGAGAGACGAGAAGGGATAGGGAGGGACTAGGAGGGAAGGGGAGGGAATGGGAGGGAAGGGGAAGGACGGGGAGGGGAGGGAAGGGGAGGGACGGGGAGGGGCGGGGCGGGGAGGGATGGGAAGGGGAGGGACGGGGAGGGAAGGGGAGCGACTGGGAGGGACAAGTCAGGGGTCTGTTGTGGTTGTTTTGTCCCATTTAAAAAAACCACCTGGCCAGGGCTTCTGACACACGACACGGAAAATGTGAAAGCCAGACCAACAAATTGAAACTCAGAAAACATCATCAGGTTTAAAGCCCCTTGCAGCCCTGCTTCTGTTATGCTGAGGACTAAGCTCAGAAGCGGATCGGTGTTTGGGTCAAATTGATTTTGCTTTTGGTGTTTAAGGATTACTTGAAGAAAATGTGGTTTCACTTTGCTTTAAAATTACACCAAATATTTACTTTTATTTTTCAAAATTTCGGGTTTATCCTTTTATGTTTTTTAATGTAGGAAAATAATTGTACAGATTACGATTTCCTTTTCTTTCGATCAAAGAGTGCCCACTGCACAGAGGCCATTCCGTTCTGTGGCTCATTTCCTGGAAGCCTGAAGGTGGGTCTCCCCCCGCACGTGGGGTTTGCAGTCCCCTCCCTCTTCGTGCACAGGCGCGGGATTTCCAGTCTTCTGCCGGCCAAGCTGCCGCCGCAGTGAGGGGTCTTGCCAATGCCTCTTCTGCTATTTCTGTCCCAATATCCTTATACGACTGTCCTTTCGGGGCGCCCGGGTGGCTCAGTTGGTTAAGCGTCTGATTCAGTTCCAGCTCAGGTCTTGAGCTCACAATTTGTCGGTTCAAACCCCGTGTTAGGCTCTGTGCTGATAGTGCAGAACCTGCTTGGGATTCTCTCTCTCCCCGCTCTCTCTGCCCCTGCCCTGTTCGAGCTCTCTCTCTCAAAATAAATTTTAAAAAAGTTACTTAAAAACCTTTCTGGAAGTCTGAGGAGAAAACACTATCTTCTCCTTAGGAGGCTGGGGGGTTGCGTGGGTGCATGCAGGCACAGGCGCACAAACATGCACACTCACACGCACACTCACGCCGCACTGACTTCATGTATAAATTCCACACAGGTCACTGACCCGTGGAGCCCACCGTGAGCAAGTCAGAGGAAGAGCATGTGTTAAATACACGGGCACCATTTCCACGGAAACACCACTTGAGTCTCTGAGGACAGCCCCCTGTTTCCCACCATCTATATTTTATTTATGGCCAACACGGCTTTTGAGAGAAGGCTTTGTCTTAGCATGAAACGTGTCACGATGAGTGCTTGTTCCTGCGGTGATACTGTCCCCCGAGTCTGCATGTCACACCTAAAGCCACACACACAGGAAGCACCCTGACAAAATGCACCAGCTGACCCGGGGAGGTGGGAGAAAAGAAGCCTCAGTATCAGTTCTGCTGCTCTGTGGCCTGGGGCAAGTTACTCAAGTGCTCTAAGCCTGCGCGTCCCTGAGAACCTTAGAGGCAATGCGTATTGCCAGGCTGAGTTGTTCCAAAAATCCGATGCGGGAACACAGGCCAAGCACCGGGCACCAAATCTCAGGTCAGCGTAACATGACAGCTGGTTTAATTCTACAGTAGAGGCCCACGATTGTCAGAGAGCTAGAATCTGCTTTCATTCGCTTTGGGCTGTGGTCCCAGCTCCCTGTTCTGGATTCCCCCGGTGTGAGAATAAAGGAACCCAGTGTTCTTTCCCTGGAAAGGCTCTCGCGTGCCCGAGGGGGTCCGAGATAGACTCACCCTCGCACGGCGGTTGTAAGGGCTGCATGTATGTGATGTACTAAGGACAGAAACTCACGCTACAAGGGTGCAATCAATATTAGCCCCATTGACCACCACGCGCAAGCCTCACTGGCAGCACAGGGTGGAGGGAAACTTCTCCGTCCAGGAGAAAAGGGCACAGAAGCCGTGTGGTTGTTGCCAAGCATCCAGGACACACCAACTGAGACCGGCCAAGGCACCATGACATGTCTGGTAGCGCACACTTCTAAACCGATCAACTCGGGCGTCCAAGAACCTGCTGCGCAGGAGGACACATGGCTGACGGCACAGGGAGCCTCCACAGGAGCCTCTGACGCCGTCCAGCAGGGCCACCGTGCAGCCCCGAGACGCTGCACAGAGCACATTATTGCCGGGTCCTTGTTAGCTGTGAATTCTGGCTTAACAAGGGAAAATAACTGAAAATGCCCCAAACAACCAACTTAGCTGTGCTTTTGGGGTAAATAAAACGTAACCAGCATAGACGGGTTATTTTGAGGCAGCATCACAGCTAGGGAATTGGTCCTACAGGAAGCAGGAGACCGGAGAAGCACCTGGTGCCCGCGTGGCCGGAAACATAGCCAACCATTCAGGGAAGCAGCCCAATTTTGCGAACGATCGCCTGAAGTGTAAATTTCAACCAAGTAAACACAGAAAGTTATGATCATCTGCGGCCTCGTACTCGGGCCAATTTTTCCTGGCATCCCGGGACCATGTATGTTTCCATACTGCGGCACGCCGGCAGGTCCTCTTCCTCTTCCGAGAATCTAAAGCATTTTTATTAAATTTTGTTGATAAGTAGGCTTCATGCCCAGTGTGAAGTCCAATGCAGAGGCCAGCTCAGGGCTCAGACACAAAACCCTGAGATCAAGAGTTGAGCTGAGATCAAGAGTCGGACACTTAAATGACTGAGCCACCCAGGAGCCCGCTCAATAGTCTTATATATGAAAAAGAACAATGAAATCACAGGTTAAATCAAGGGAATCAAAATAATACACTTGGGTTTTACAGTCTTTTTAGTTCCATGACAGAACCATCATTCTACTCCAGTGAGTAATGATTGTGCTGTTTTATGTACTTTTTTCTACCAAAGCTCCTGTGTTTTTGCCCCAGGAGAGAACAACACATCAGAATGGGCTACTCCAGGGTCTTTGAATTCATGCTCTGTGCCTTTAACAGTGTTACCTAATGCGGGTCCTGCACACGGTTAAAATATGGTCAAGGGGTTAATGCTTCCCTTATTAAGCAGACGCTGTTGCCATCTGTCGCCTGGCATCCACATCTACTGATGCCAGACAGCCCATCGATTACATCATCGGGAAAGGAGGAAGAGGAGAAAGGATCCCTTGTATAGATTCAACACCGCCTTCTGACGCGGAGGTAGGCGCACACGTATAAATGAGGAAGACGGGCGTACGAAATACCAGTGCAGGAGGAGGGGAGAGGCTCTGATGTCCAAATGTGACCCGTGACCGAAGACTAGGTCCTTACCATGTCATGCCCACAAACGGTGCCTTCGGCTGCGGGCATAAATTTAGTCTCGCATTTCCTTCCAATCCGGTGACACCACAAGGCTTTGCAGATATCCTACCAGGGAGAAAAGGTCATCAGCGTTACAAATGGTCCATAAATCTACAAGAAAATTCACCAAAAATTTTAAGGGGAAAGCAAGCAACTGATATAAATTAAAAGCTGATATCAATTTAGCAGCAGATGAAAACGGTAGAAAGAAGAAGACCCAGAGACTCAGGTGCTAGACTTGGCCTGACTTAATTCCATCCCTGAAGCTTTATTTGTTCATATGTATTTATCATAAATTTGACAAAATTATGTTTTAAAACATTTTTTTAAGTTTATTTATTTGAGAGCGAGAGAGAGGAAGGGCATGTGTGAGCAAGGGGAGGGGCAGAGAGAGAGAGGAGAGAGAGAACTCCAAGCACAGAACTCAGTGTGCCATCAGCGCAAAGCCTGACCTGGGGCTGAAACTCACGAACCATGATATCATGACCTGAGCCAGAATCAAGACCCAGACACCTAACTGACTGAGCCACCCAGACACCCCACAAAATCATATTTTCTAAACTAAAAAGTAAAATATGCTGAATCCTGAGGCTGCAGCAAACTACAAAAATTCAAAAGACTCAATAAAGCCTAACATTTTATAATTTATTCTTGACTCCATCATTCATTAACCTCTCCAAGTCTGAATCCTCATTTCTAAATTAAAGCTGATTATGAAATTTTCTGACTTCCCCATCCATCCATCCACCCACCTACCATCCCCAATCTTTTTTTATTATTAAAGCTTATTTACCTATTTTGAGAGAGAGAGACAGAGAGAGAGTGGGAGTGGGAGAGGGGAACATAGAGAGACGGAGAGAGAGAGAATCCTAAGCAGGCTCCGAGCTGTCAGCACAGAGCCCATTGTGGGCCTCAAACTCATGAACCCTGGGATCATGACCTGAGCCAAAATAAAGAGCTGGACGTTTAATCAACTGAGCCACCCAGGTGCCCCCATCCCAACCTTTGATGAAGGCCTAGAATATGCCAGTTGCCTTGCTAAGAGGGAGGTCCAATAAGGAATATGACCCACACCCTCTCAAGCATGGTCTAACGGAGTAAATTTGCTATAAATCACCATATGGTGCATGTGGGAAGACTCAGGAAAGGACTCATGGGAAGATACGATATCTCAGCCAATTCCTGAGCTTAAGGGGTTTGTTAGGGAAGAGGGGATGATATTCAAGTGAGAAAGAACAAAGGGTTTGCGCAAAAGAAGGAAAACGTAAGGGAAGAGAGGTGTGTGCAGAGGAAGGAAGACCCACACGGCTGATAGGACCGTAAAATAAAACAAGATCTGAGATTTGTACACAGTGGAAGTGCCTCCAAGTGCAAGGAATTGGCTTTCCTTTCATCTCCTTCTGCGCTCAAAGGAACATCTTAGTGAGGGGTGTGCAGTAGGACTCAGAAAAGGACGGAACCTTCAGGAACGCTGGTGGCAGCTTCAAATGCACAGGAGGTTAACGTTTCTTAAATTATCTGCACAACTGTTCTGGAAATGTGAACCAGCGTTCGATCACTAAGCGTTCCCGGGGCAAATGTGTCACGTTGGCGGTTAGTGCCTCTCACGACACTCACGGGCATGCCGACGTTGGGGGCCTCTGTTCTTGGCTAGAACAGTGTTTCGTTTACAGATCGGAGCCGTAAGAAGACCTCGAGGAATCCGTCAGAGCAACGGCCCGAGTGTCTGTAAGTCCCCAGAGAGACAACTGGAAAGCGTTTGTTTGCAGGGTGACGACTGGACAGGATGCCAGGATATAAATAAAGCTGCCTTGAAATCGGAGCTCAAGGACGCAGGCTCGACACCTGGGTGGGAAGGCGGTGGATCAGAACCAGAGCCTGTACCGCAGTGGGAGGCAGGGGTACCCGCGCTGGAGGGGTGGCTCACTAAGGATTCCGGAGGCTGGGTGTGCACACATAAGCCCATGAAGGCACAAATGGATGGATGGCTGAAGAAATGAATGGGGAGATGTGAACGAGGTAGCTGGTCCGGTGGTTAATCGGATGGGAGACGGACGCAGTGGTTGGGTAGAGAGTCTGGGCTTTTGAGAAAGCACATCTGGTGTGGACTGGAAGGGCAGGTCTGGGCAGGCCGGACTCTGTGTCCTTGTGCGCTTGAGAAGGGCAACTCCCCCACCCCAACCCCCGGCATCCTCCCTGCTCACGACCTGTCCTGAGAGCTAAATGCAGTGGTTGTAAGTAACAGGCCAAACTCAGGCCGCTACCCTAGGGGCACCAAGCACAGCACACATTTCCCTCCTCACTCCAGGGGTGTGAGGTGACTCGAGCCCACTCCCTTCATGGTTGTGGCCTTTGGGAGCTGGTGCTCCCAACCGACGGGGCAGGTTCAAAGACTCTCCAAGTCTTTGAATGATACAAAATAAGTGGTGTTTTAAAATGTTAAATAAGGGCTTCCTGGATGGCTCAGTCGGTTAAGCATCTGACTTCGGCTCAGGTCATTTGAGTCCATGGTCAGTGGGTTCGAACCCTGCGTCAGGCTCTGTGCTGACAGCTCAGAGCCTAGAACTTGCTTCGGATTCTGTGTCTCCATCTCTGTTTTTAAATGTTAAATTATTCTTATGTATTTGACATAGCTACCTGGCACAGAAATCAGTACCTAGCTGGCTTTCAATAAATGCTTTCTGAGTGAGCTGAACATCTGTTGGTTTGTTCCTGTGAAAGCCTTGGATGCAATGAACAGGAACATTTTCACATAAAAGGAAATAAGGGTCAGTGAGATGTGATTGTAAAAATATCTAAGATGACACAGGTGGGCCACCTTATGTATGAAAATGCTAGATCTAGACCCTATTATTTAAAGTATTTTCATAATATTCTTACATTATAGTTTTCTGGAACATTCTGCAGAATACAGAACTATGAATGGAAGATACTATTAGAGCAGATGTTTTTTTAACTTCACTAAGGACAAAGCTCTCAAATACAGGATAGCTTGCCCCTAAGGCACTTGACCACTAACTCAGTCTATGCCTGGCTCACGCCAGCTGTGTATTTCAACCCATCCTGGAACTGGGTTCATCCCCAACTTAGTACTCCAGGCCAAAACAAATCACAAGAGTTAGAAGAGCCTCAAAATATCATATAATCCATGCTACTGTTTTCAAACACAGCAAAATTTATTTGGAACCTTGGTATGCTACAGATATAACTGACATTTAATAAAAATGTGACTGTATCCTGGAAAACACATGAAAATTCTAGTACCTCAAAGAATTAGATGATAAAATGACCATGAAACAACTAAACAACCAAAAGCCAATGACACTTTTATTGTACTTTGACTTCACTGCTAACTTCTGGACATAGTGTGCAAAGATTATATTAAATTAAGCATGATTGTTGTATGTCATGACATTCTTTATTAAATTTCAGGGTCCTCTTGGAACAAAGACCCTATTAAATCATACGTCTAGGGCCAGAGCTGGAATGTAAGACATGCCGGGTGTGGGGGGAAGCTCCCAGTTTCACAACAGTACCCAGGACACGAAGGGGATCAGATTTCAAAGTAAGTCTGGAAGCCTGCATCTCGGACTAGGGACAGGCCACCAGGCACCGCTGAGGCAGAGGCTGACAGGTCAGAAGAGAAGCTAGATGACGATGCGATGTTTGTGATAACTAGCATGGAGCTCGGGGAGAACAAAGCCAAGGTCACGTGGAGAGTCCACACTTACTTTCATCTTTGCAGCTAAGGAACACGATCTTTAATGAAGGTGCCCACTTGTGAGCCTATCCTCTAATTTAAGAGCTTATGTTCACGGGGTGTCTGGATGGCTCAGTGGGCTAAGCGTCCAACTCTTGGTTTTGGCTCAGATCATGATCTTACAGTTCGTGGGTTTGAGCCCCACGTTGAGTTCTGTGCTGTCAGCTTGGGGCCAGCCTGGGATTCTCTCTCCCGCCACTCTCTGCCCCTTCACTGCTCTCTCTCTGCCCCTTCACCCCCACCATCAAATTAAACTTAAAAAAGAAAGCTATGTTCATGAAGACCAATTTCAGTCATACGGACTTGGTTAAGTTCAACATCACAACCTGATACCCCAAATAAAAGCCACATTTTCAGATGGTGGTGTTAGGAATTTTGGGGGGATTTCCACACAGTGAGTAGATGCCACCAGGCCTATTTTCTCAAACTGTCCATATTACACTCTTCAAAAATACGAACTAAAATTCCATTACAAACCATGTTATAATGGGATCTACAGTTTATTGCAATTATTTGTTTTTGGTTTTGAAGTAGCAGGGTCTTTTCATCAGTAATTCCAATCATCACTATGCAGGCCATCAGAGCGTAGAGAAAGCCATGGCCATATATGCGCGTGAGTTCATAAATGAGTATGTAAACACACACATATACACACCAAATACACATCTATTTGTCCCAGAGACAGATACATACGTGTTTGTGTTACCCATTAACTAAATAGCATTAACTAAATGCTATCCAAACTAAATTAACTAAATGCTATCCAAACTAAACAGCATAGAGAATTAAAGAGTCCTTTTCTACAATAGCATTCATCCTTTATGCTGCTCAACAAATGTGCATTGGGGAGCCTTTACATGCTCATCACAAGGTTAGGCACCAGGTAATTTGCTTGTTATTTATTATTTTATATTCTCCCTTCAGTAAACTTTAGATCTTTATACTTCAAGCTAACAAAACAGACCCATTTCCTGAAATTTCAGAAGGAGTTTATAAACTTACATTTTTTTAAAGGTTTATTTACTTTTGAAAGAGAGAAAGAGCAAGAGTGTGAGAGGGGATGAAAGAGAAAGGGAAACACAGAATCCCAAACAAAGCCTCAAAGTGCCAAGGGATCACCTATTCATATAAACTTAGTAATATAAGCTGATAATGCATTATCTTATAAATACTCAAGGTTATAAAGGAAAAACTGGACAGAAGGAGTGAAAAACTGGAAATTTCAGTAGAGGAGTACAACCTACAAAGAACTAGATGGTGTTTCTGGAAACTGAAACTTAAAATAACCTACATGTAGAGTGTGCTAAGTTGTCTAAACAAAGTGACTAGGAAAGGCAGAAGATACAGATGATGATCAGCTTTTTATCAGAAACAACTGAGTCCAGTTGAAAGTAGAATTATATCCTTAAAATTTCTAAAGAGGAAAAATACAGAAAAAACTTGCAAATTCTTTTTTTTTAAATATTTTTTATTTATTTCTGAGAGAGAGAGAGAGAGAAACAGCATCAACAGGGGAGGGTCAGAGAGAGAGGGAGACACAGAATCGGAAGCAGGCTCCAGGCTCTGAGCTAGCTGTCAGCATAGAGCCCGACCCAGGGCTTGAACCCACAAACCATGTGATCATGGCCTGAGCCGAAGTCGGAAGCCCAACCGACTGAGCCACCCAGGCGCCCTACGAATTCTATATTCAGAAAAACTATTCTTCCAAATGGAGGGTGGATTAATGGTATTTTCAGATAGGGCGAACCTGACAAACTTCGTGGCTAGCAAACGCGGGCTACAGGGAATGCTAATGCAAGTTCTTCAGGCCAAGGCAAACGATAAGCATTGGAGCTGACCCATAAGAATGCGTAAGGACCACATGGCAGATCTGTGGACGACTATAAAAGATGACCCAGTTTTATTTAAAAGGAACTCCCTATTGGGGCACCTGGGTGGTGCAGTCCGTTGAGTGGTTGAGCGTCTGGCTCTTGATCTTGGCTCAGGTCATGATCTCAGGAAGCGTGAGATCTGTCCCTGCATCGGGCTCTGAGCTGACAGTGCAGAGCCTGCTTGGGACTCTCTCTGCCCCTCCTCCGCTCACAGTCTCCTTCTCTCTCAAAATAAATAAACATTTAAAAATAATAGTAAAATAAAATATCTGAAGCAGGCTCTGCACTGTCAGCACAGAACCTCATGCAAGGCTCGATCTCACGGTTCCTGAGACCATGACCTAAGCCGAAATCAAGAGCTGGAAGCTCAGCCCCTCAATGGACTGGGCCACACAGACATCCTGTAACTCCCAAGTTTTAGAATGCTGTGTCAGGTGGCTTGTAACATGTACAGAATAAAACACGTGATGACAAGAGTACAGTGTGAGGGAGGGCCACGTGGACTTCCTTGTTGTAAGGATCTTGCATTTTACATAGAGTGGCACAATGTTAATTCTACATAGACTGTAAATCACAGATGCAGCTATAATCTTTAGAACAACCACTAAAAGCTAGTGTAAGAAAGTATGACTAAACAAGTTGACATGAAAAATAGAATTTTTAAAAGCAAGCTTAATCCAAAAGGAAAGAGAAATAAAAAAGATGCGTGACTGGGGCACCTGGATGGCTCAGTCGGATCAGCATCTGACTTTGGCTCAGGTCATGATCTCGTGCTTCCTGAGTTTGAGCCCCGTGTCAGGCTCTGTCCTGACAGCTCAAAGCCTGGAGCCTACTTTGGATTGTGTGTCTCCCTCACTCTCTGCCTTTCCCCTGCTTGTAGTCTTTGTCTCTGTCTCTCTCAAAAATAAATAAAATATTTTAAAAAAGAAGTGTGACCAATAGGAAACAAAATTTAAAACCTATCAGTATAATTCTTCACATTAACTCAATAAACAAGAGAAACTATATAACTACATTAATAGACACAGAAGACATTTCACCAAAGTCAACAGACTTTTGTGATAAAATCTCTCAACAATCTGGGTCCAGAAAGGAACTTCCTCTGTTTGATAAAGGATAACTATGCAAAACCAACAGCTAACATCATATTTGTTTTCTGTTCATTACTGGAGTTTTTAATTGTAATTGCAGTGGAGTTAACATACCGTGTTAGTTTTGGGTATAGAATATAGTGATTCAACTACTCTATACATTACTCAGTGCCCACCACAGTAAGTGGGCTCTTACTTACCTCCTTACCTGTTTCACCCCCACCACAGCTCCCCTCTGGTAAAACCCTGTTCTCTACAGTTAACAGTCAGCTTCTTGGTCTCTTTCTTTTGTTTTGTTTCTTAAATTCCACATATGATTGAAATTATATGGTATTTGTTTTTCTCTAACTTATTACTCTTAGCATTATATTCTATAGTTCCATCCATGTCACTGAAAATACTTTACTTGGCAATGACAAAGTTCCAGAACAAGCGAACTGTATCTATGGCGCTAGAAAGCAGAGCAGCGGTTGCTTACTGGGGTGGGGAAGGGACTGAATGGGAGACGGCATGCGGGACCTTTTTGGCTTTATAGAAGTAAGCCTCATCTTGATCAGTGTGCGGGTAACATGGGTAAAGGCATTGTTAAAATTCAAGTGCACACCTAAAATGAATGTATGCATGCCACTGCATGTAAATATTTCCTCCGTAACAAAAGACATGCCACACATTTAACTTCTCCCGATAGTTTCTGAATGGCGCTAAGGTGCCATGGATGATACCATCCATGGTCACAGAGCAAAAATAATGTGGAAGCCAGAGGAAAATCCCATCTTTGAAAACACAATTAGTGTTGTGCTCCTTTTCCTTAACACACAGAAGGGCAACACTCAAAACATTCTTAGGGATTCCGTACATTCTGCCCCTGGGAACGGGCAACGTTAGGAACATATGCTGATGGCGACTGATTTATTGTTCCAAGCTGAGGTTCCCCAGCTGAGGGGATGAGAATCCAGTTCTGGCATGCGGGTTGTAACTGATCTTAGGGGGGGAGCTCTCCTTGAGTTCAGAAGAAAAGAGATGATCACGTTAGATTTAAATTGGAAATATTCCCGGGGCGTTATGAAATGTTGGAGGTTTCTGGAGGATCATATTCGTGTCTGTTTTCCTCTTGATTTCATTATGGACTACAACAAGAGGAATCTCAAAAATAGTTACTTTCACTTAATTTATGGGTAGCTTCCCCTGTGGTTCAGGACAGCAAGTTCCTCTATCCCAGTCCGTCTGCCCGTCGGGGACAGTGGCACATCTCTGTTGTATGTGGGGTTTACACTATGGAGCCAGTGTCCCCGGGCTCGATGTAGAAAGCACCTTCTAGGAGAAACTTCTCTAGAAATGCCACATTTGGGAACTATAATAATCAGAAGCCCTAGGTAGGCTGCTTCTCCACAGTACGTTCTGCTTGGAGCTAAGAAAGATAAAGCAGGGCGGTGCTGTTTTCTGAACAGTGTTTGAAAAAACATGCAGGGTGTCAGTTTGCCAACGTACACCAACCAAAGGTTACTGCTGAGCTCCCACGTGATAAATCAGAAAGAAAGAGCTGACCTAACGGGCCAAGTCAGTTCTCCAATGAAAACTGATACCCACACCAGTATCTACCATCATTTTCCTTGCCAGTAAAACATGTGTTTCCTGTTATAGGAGACCAGCTTTAACATAGAGGATCTGACATTTGGTAGGTACCCAATAAATGCAGAATCCATCAATGTCCGTTACTCTGAATAAAACGCTTTTATGAGTCACACTGCGCAGGGCATTTGCCAATAATCACTTGCCTTTTTAAACTCCAGCATGCAGAGTTTGGCTTTCTCTCCGAACTGCCACTTGCACTGAGTATTTGCATCGTACAGCTCTCCCGGCAGCTTTTCAGGGTACTTGTACTCCTTCACAGGCTTCGGCTGGTCAGCAAGGCACAAGGCTTGTGCGGTGCTGAAACGCAGAGGAGACAAGCTGCTAGTGATTCCGGAAGACTTACCAGAGAGACACGCTGACTATGCCTTGATATTCTCATGCAATCTGACAACACAGCCCGTACAGAGAAGAGGGGGTACTTTTCTCCTGGGGTCCGATGTTTATCTCGATTATCCTTAAATACAGGGCCACATTTCCTCAAATTGCTCATAATGCCTTTCGTCTTTTCCAGGAAGGCAATTTGTTCTTCGTCAGATTTCTCCAGCTTATCGTGGGGCCGAGGGAAATGGAATCACACAACCAGATGTGCAGTGTGAGAAGCTCTGATTGTGGACACCTTTTACATATACTTCTTGCCACGAACTACCAACAGATGAAATGGGCATCATGAAAGGCAAACACAATCAATCTCAAAGACTAGAATTTTCTTTCTTTTCCTCCCTCCATCCTTCCTTCTTTTCCTTCCCCCCTTGCTTTCTTCTCTCCTTCTCTCCCTCCCTCCCTTCCTTCCCTGGGCCAGGGACCACCGAACCACAGCTCACAGCCTGCAGAGGTTTGCCATGGACCACAGCAGCAATTTCTACCAGCGACGCTCTACGCTCAGACTAATTTCTGACTCAATTCCCAAGTTAAGAAGGAAATTAACTCTGCCTAAGTTTACTAGCAGGTGGCTAAAGACCAACTAATGATTTTTTCCTCCACAAACACGGTATTCCCTTCCCTACCAGGGACGTGCATAGTTATAATTTTTGTTTTTGGAGGAAGGGAAAACAGTGCTTGCACATAGCAACTAAATCTTACTTACAAATTTCAACAAGTAACCCCCCCCCCAAATTTCTCAATATATGACCAATAGCCCACGCATCCCTACACTTTTCTCTGTGTGGTCACCCACCTTGACCCGAATCACTTTGGCCTCAGTCTCCATGGCCCAGTCCCAGATCCCACTGCTTTGGGGCCCACGCATGCATACCTTCAATTAATAGTCACACACAAAACACAACAGGTGGTACCAGCTACCATGGATGAGACATGAATCCCCCATACAAGGAGGTCAGAAGCCTTTTAAGAGCAAACTGAGAAACATAGATTAACTCAAATGATAGGAACGTGTTAAGAGCAGTGACTGGCTCATTGCGAGTGTTCAATAAATGACATGTCTATCACTACTACGGCAGTCGTAATGCAAAGGAATATTTTCAAGTAAAGAAAAACGAATAAAAGCATGACTAGCACTCCAAGACAGGAGTGACTTGGCAATTCCGGAACTCCATAGAACCTTTCTCTGATGGATCACAAATGATTCTGATACACTAGTTCAGTGTTCCCCAGTATCTCCCTGAGGCTACCTCAGGGAGGCAATTTCATACCTATCCTATGGACAAGAGACCAGGACACGTCAGCCAAGCCAACTGGCCCAAGCAAGAGACTGAAGATTTAAAAAGGTTCACAGGTTCAGGAGTTTTTATAGTTTGTGTGAATGTATAAGCACATGGCCTGAGGACAAGGTTCCTGCCTGGCCAAGAGAAATGAAGGTCACAGACTGGGAGCCTGGAAGAAGGTTCAGGAACACACATATCACTACTGGGATGTGAACGTCAGCTCCAATTAGCTTCACCTTTGAGGAACTGAAGCTCCCCATGTTGATCGTACCCTGGTCCTTCTGGTTAGGTTCACGCTTGAGCACATCTGGTTTTTCCCCTTAGCCCCAGCAGGTCTCACAGCTAAGCCCATGACCAAGGGGCAAGTGCGAGAAAACCCTATGGTATGGATGTAGGAAGTAAAAGCACACTGCCACTGTACGAACATTCCCCCATCATATCCACATGAACAAAATGTGTTTAGCTCATTTGCATGCCCCGGACAGAAGTCAGGTGACCCTCATGTGATAAGCAAAACGATAAAGCTGTAGATCATGTGGAAGAAGATACTCGTGACTTTGGGGTAAGCAGGGTTTTTCCTTTTTTTCCAACAATACACAAAACTTGCTAAACCTAAAGGAAATCTATGGATTAATCTGGACTCCGTGACACAAAGAAAGCCTTCAGTTAACCAAAAGACACCATTAAAAGTGTAAATACTGAGTCACAGAGTGAAAGATGGTAATTGCAGTACATGTTTTCCGTAATGGACAACTTGTTCCTACTCGGGAGTATAAAGTACTCCCATCAAGAGATATGAAAAAATAAATAGAGCCTACTTTTTAAAAATTCACAAGAGATTTGAACATGCACTTCACTAACGATGATTCAAGTGTCCATTAAACATGAAAAAGAAACTCGATGATCTCTTGAATTATCACTTCGGTATGCCACTACACCCATCAACGTGGCTAAAATGGAAAAGACCCACAAGACTAAGCGTTGGCAAGGAATCAGAGCCACGTGAACGTTGCTAACCGCTGTAGGCATGTGACTTGGTACAACCGCTTAGGGAACCTGTCTACAGACAGACTGCGTATTCATGACCCGGAAGTCCCAGTCCTACATATAATCAGAGATGTATATGCAAACCCAAAAAATATGCAGAGTAGCATTTTTTACAATAGCTCCAAATTCGAATCTCAAATGTCCTTACCAACAGAATGGATTAGTAAGTTGTCGCACATTCATGCAACTAAAAATAAGTAAATGATGCTATATATACATATTTTTAAAATTTATTTCTGAGAGAGAGAGACAGCGTGAGCAGGAGAGGGTCAGAGAGAGAGGGAGATACAGAATCTGAAACAGGCTCCAGGCTCTGAGCTAGCCGTCAGCACAGAGCCTGACGCAGGGCTCGAATCCAAGAACCGTGTGATCATGACCTGAGCCAAAGTCGGATGCTTAACCGACTGAGCCACCCAGGTGCCCCAATGATGCTATATTTTTATGTAGCAACAAGGATGAACTGCATCATCATGATATTTAGCCAAAGACCCCAGACACTGAGTAATACATAATTCTTGATTCCATTCATAGGAAGTTCAGAAACAGGCAACACTAGTCCATGGTGTCTTGTGTCAGGGGAATGGTTATCTCTGGGGAGTTCACCGTGTTCGGTGCCTTTTTATGAAGGTTAGTTAACACATTCATCACCCCGTGTATTTAGATTTGTGAGTGTGACCTGAGGACTTTTAAGGTCTACTCCCTTGCAGCTGTCAAACACAGAATGCAGCATCGTTCTCTAGTTATCATGCTGCACACCAGAGCCCCAAGGGCCCATGGATCTTACTGCAAAGTTTGTATCTGGGACCACCCTCACCAGTGTCCCCACCCCACCCACCCCCCCAGCAGCCACCTCTCCACTCTCTGTTGCTATGAGTTTGATTGTTTAGATTCCACAGATGAGTGAGGAAGACAGTATTTGTCTTTCCCTGATTTACCTCATTTAGCATAATGCCCCGAAGGTCCAGCCACATTGCCAAAAATGGCAGGATTTCCATCTTTCTTATGTGAATAATACTCCATTATATATATATGCATATATAAGATTATATATATATGCTTATATATAATATGTGCACGCACATACGCACACACATATACATATATACACATACATATATATATAATCTTTAGTTGCTTATCTGCTGACAAATGACAGACATATTGCTTCCCGTCTTGGCTATTGTAATGTGCTCTGTTGATCTGAAAGGAAGTTACACTACCATCCTCACTGTGTGAAAATTCACGGAGCTGCACCCTTATAGTTTTGTGCTTTTCTATATATCTGTTTAACCACAAAAACAATGTTAATAAAAAACAAGGCAAGGTCAGAGATACCACAGTGATATTTCAAGGTCTGCTTCCCACTCTGATTGATGAGCCACAAAACGTGAAAGAGCTTGAGAGATCTTCCCCCTTGTCCAAGTTGGGAATAGGGGCCCTCAGAACGGATTGTAATACTCGCCAAGGTCAAGACCTTCCCAGACACGAAGGATAAAGCCACGATCAGCATACCAGCTCTGATCTCCTTTGCTGCTCTTTCTGCTATAGGGCAGAGCTTGCTCTCCAGTCTTCAGCAGAAACTAAGGACAGTTGGGACTTGGTTTTTCTTAAGACGAACGTTATACAGCAGAGCAAGATGTGAGCCGAAATGTATTCTTTCCATTACACCCAAAAGTGTGCTTAATGGGCTCTTGGGTCAAATCAAACCTTCTCATTGACAGAGGCGGTATGGGGTGTAGAAGGGGATCCACGCACCCTTCAGACTCCTGGTTCCCAGGGACGGCCCCCTTCCCCACAGACTGCCTTCGATTCATGGGGTCAGAGGGGAGGTACATTCACGAGGCTGTAGTAGAGGATACAAATTTTAAAAAGCACATTGAAGATGAGTCCCCGTTGTCATTAAATTAAAATAATGAGCTAAACTTATGGGGATGAGCACTGAGTGTTATGTGGAAACTAATTTGACAATAAACTATTTGTAAAAAATAATAAAATAAAATAAAATAAAATAAAATAAAGAGCTAAAATTTCCCTAGTCCGAGGCCTCCCGGATGTAGACATGAGTACATGGGATGAGATCTGTGTCTGTTCATAGGAAATGACACATGACTTCACTGACGAGGTCGATGAATTTACTCCAAACACATATCTGTCCTTCCTGACTACCGACTACGGAGAAACATTGCGCTGACAACTTCAGACCAACTGAGGTCCTTCATTATATATTTTTTCCACGTACCAAAAGCTGGACTGCTAATAAAGGAAAGTGGATTCATCTTTACAAGTTAGCCACTTATCCTTACTCATTGTTGGGATCAGCTCCAAATAGCCGCCTAATCGGTGGAGAACATAACAGGCTCGTGATTACGTGGGAATCAGGAAGTCAGCAAACATGTCAGAGAAGACAGCCTCCGATTCATGAAGCCAACAAGGCACCACTGTTCACCCAGTGTGTGTCCATTTTGCGACTGGTCATCCCAAGTGCAAGAAGGCTTCTGACATTCTGACGCTCTCTTGGAAAATGTAACCTTCCAGGAAAACAAACGGGTGAACATGTTAATCTTGCATATCTGTTTATAATCCTGTGGCCCAGAGAAATTAGCAACGTTCTTGCAAACAAAAGTTTATTACTAAATTGCCCCACAAGGGTTTAACTGATGGACACAAAAACAAATGAGCACACTTGAGCCGACACAGAAGGGTCCTGGGATCCCAGAGCAAACATGTCTTTGAACCAGACTCTTGGCAATCCCTCGTGGGGTCACAGTCTGATTCGAAGCTCACAGCCCATATCTAATGTCATCAAAACAATTGTTCTCTAAGCATATAACTATTTTCCTTCCACGAGTTCTCCTATATTTCTTGGCAGCTTAATAACTTTACTGGGCTCTTTTATGATGCTGATTCTCACTGCACACCCAAGCTTCACATCCCCTGCTTTCCAAGGTTTGTCCGAGCACATTTCAAAAAAAATTAAAAATGTTTATCTTCATCATAACCATTAAAATGAAAAAGCTATAAAATTTTGAAAAATAACCTAGGAAATGACAGGAAAGATTTGTGATACAGAAAATTCCAAATTTCCCTTGTTAATACAAATAAGAGCATTGTGCACTTAAGTCCATGCCCTTTTTTATGACAGAAAGCAGAATTCTTCATACACACACACACACACACACACACACACACACACACACCACACAAATCCCTCAAGCAAATCTGAACCAGTGCAAGAAGGAGCCACAAACCTTGCTAACAATCCCCACCTTGACCGCCCGAGGATCCCATACAGGGAACAGCAAATGTTGAAGAGAACAATGGTAACACTGTTTTCGGTAGTAGAAGTAGAAGAAAAATGATCAAGCGTGTATTCCTAGAATGCAGATTTCTATTACCAGGAGATGGGTATTCTCCACAAAATTCTCACTCTTCTTGGGTGACATAAAATACAGAAGGCGGCCAACATTCCTGTAGGTGGCAAAGTATGTTGACTGATAGGGGGAAGGACCCCAGGCTGCAGGCGGCAGTCAGGATGCCTGCTCAGAAGACCTGCTGCGAGGCCGTCTGGAGAGCTGAATGAGCCAGCGGCAAGAAAGGGACATGCGTATGGGGGGCGGTCGCAGATAATGGACACACCGGGGGTAGAGACAGAAATAGCCGTGCGACCCCGCCCCACGGTGTTCTATAAACTACATGATGTCATTTATGTAACGGAAAAAAAAAAGGAAGGAAAAGGGTCTGGACTGAAAAAGTAAGGAGAAACAGACAGAAAGAAAAAAAAAACAACAAAGAAAACCTAGAACCCAAGATCAGGAGCTCAGTGAGGCGGGCGGGAGAGGACGGTGGAAACCTGACTGGAGTCTGTACGGCACTAGAGGAGCCCACGACTTCGGCCCCGCTCCCTCGCGGGGAACAACTAGCTCTGTCTTGACGGTAGGAACGTGCATCGCTTACAAAGGTCCCTGGCTGCCGACCCGGTTGCTTCTTGGGTGTTGCCGAATCTGTGTTTCTTCCACCGACTCTGCTCAAGCCGATGTGGGGCCTGCAGCTACGTGTTCCCGGCTCAACTGCTGGCATCGTGTTGTGGCAGAAACGGGAAAGGTAAAAAGCATGTGTTCCTGGTGCCTGGGACTGGCCCAGGGTGGTCTCCCTCCAGCGTGGGGTCCAGAGGAGTGTGGGAGGGGGAGGTCATCAGGTGACATGCACAGGTAACAGCCTTCTACCCATGTCTTCATTCTGTGTGTCTATTAATACTCATCAGCATATAATTAGTTATCAAAATGTAAAATATATTTTATCTAGCAGATGTGTAACTCAGTATTATGTAAATATCAGGAATATCTATAAAATACATAGAAATACGCCTAACAATGCATGCACTTATCTAAATCCGCTGTTCTTTTCACATGTACACAGTTTTCATCTTTTTAAAAGAATTCTGTGCTGGCAAACGTTTTCCTTTCCTTGAAATATCGGCGTTTGCACTACTTTCTGAATGGATTCAATCTCCTTTTTTGCTTTGGTTTCTTGAAGGATCAAACTTGTCCAATTTCAAGCTTCAATAGCACAGCCTAAGCCTGCACTTTAAGACTGACACAGTTGTGTGTTTTTTCCTTGCCCCTTCATGTTTTATTTTCATTTGCTTTCCTCTTCATCCGACTGTCAGTTCCAATTATTTTTTGTTTGCTCTCTTGTCAAAATCTGCTCCAAATTCTTACAGTAAGGTGGTTTTGGTTGTTAACTTTTCCCAAGAATATACAATGAACGTGAAGGGCGCTAACGTTCATACCTTCGGTGATGAGTCTCAGAAATGTGAGCATGTTTAACTGAGAACTCAACACAGCGGCCCGTCTCCTGGCAGCACTGACGCATTTTGGAAATACAGAAGCACACGCTTTGTATCTCCTTGACGGGAATCAGTGGGTCGTGGAGAGCCACTGTGTTTGTCAGAGACCGAGCGCGAGTCCTCCACGTGTCTGGTAAAACAAAATATGTTTCTGTGTAATGAACATGCATGCCCTCCCTCTGGAGCAGAAGCAATTCCTCCCAGAACCGGGGAAATGATGCTCTTGGAGTAACGATGGTGGAAAGTGGTGTCTTTCAGGAGCAACAGAAACATCAGACCACATTCCAGGTGCCCCCGTGGGGTCCCAGGAGAGCCTGCTGACAGGTCAGATGGACACAGCACCTTCCATCCCCGCCCGTGTTCCAGTTGCCTGTGCTCGTTCTCAGAGACGAGCCATCTTCACAGAGCTAAGATCTGCTTTATTTTTTTTGAAGTTTATTTATTTTTGAGAGAGAAAGAGAGTGAGAAAGGAGGGGCAGAGGGAGACAGAGAATCCCAAGCAGATTCCGTGCTGTCAGCTCACAGCCCAACGTGGGGCTCGAACTCACGAACCGTGGGATCATGACCCGAGCCAAGATCAAGAGTCCGACGCTCAACCCACTGAGCCACTCAGATGCCCCAAGAGCTACTTTCAAAACAAAGACTCTCCCTCACCTTCTTAGTATTTGAACCAAATAACTTTGTTAAGAAAGACTATGATTTCAACAGAATTGCTTTTCCTTGGCTATTTGCATCCAGGCTTCCGGGGATCAATAGAGAGAGGCCAGGGCCAGGGGCCTAAATGCCTAGACTCATTCCCAATTCTGGTTCCCCACATTACTTGCCCTGGGGCAGGATCCGGGGCTGCTGCTGAGCCCAGATGGCCTCTCTGTCACCCTCATGTCTTTTCCCTTCAGAGCACACGGGGTGACGACGTTCCTTCCCCGCCCCTTGCCACCCAGGCTGTCAACTGCTCTCTCGCTGCCAGGAGCATGGCCCTCTCCCGCCCCGGTCACAGGCTGCAGTGACAACCAGGCCCCATAGGAAGGGGGGGCCGCCGGACGGAAGGACCCGGTCTCTGCGTGACCACACACAGCACGCTTGCTGACCTGCATGGGAGCGCGTGAGTCAGAAGTACACTCGGTTCACAGGTGAAACCAAACTCCAGACTCAAAGTCTTGAGATCTGGGGGAGAATCAGCCTCATTAGCCGACTAAGGCTGCTTCTTAAAGTCCCTTCTTTCTCTAAAAAGTTTAAAATCTACTTCCTAGCTCTTTTTCAGGGGGTCAAACCTACCTCCTCAGTGTTCTAGACCCCAGATGAATTAGCGCTACAGTAAACTTTTCCAAAAATAATCATTAAAATTACAGGATTTTAGAGCCAGGCTAAGGCATGTATACTCAAGTTTCCCCTCCTAATAAGAAATGTACTTTGTGGAAAAAGAAAAGCAAGCGTGCACATATGCACACGCGTGCACACACACACACACACAGTTATGTGTCTTTTATAATTGTGTGCATGGCAGGTCTTTCTGCTCATGAACACAAAGGGTTTCATTACAGAAGTGAGAAGTTAAAAACAAGGAAGTGTTAGCGACAAATACTTTGGTTTGGTAAGTACCTTGGGTTTACTGTGAGTCTAAAGGTCAAATGATGTTGCATGAAGCCCGCGACGCTTGGCGCTCTAAGGAACTATTTGGCAAACTTCTTGGCCAAATGGATGTCTCCAGACACCTTCAAATGGGAACCATCTTCGGGAGTCATGGCCAAGCCGGGGCTGCTTGGACGGAACGAGGCTGACCAGCCAGGGATCACCAAGGGCACTCAGAGACACACGACCAGCTCCGGGCTTTCATACCTTAAAAATCTGTGCAGGTCCTGGCGACTGCACGGTGACCAGGAGAAGACCCCGTTGCGTCCTGCCAGCGTCGGGGACATGATGTTGCCCTCGGACTTTTTGCACATGTTGCCTTCTCCATCGTGGACCATGCCAAAGCTACGAGAGAGAGAAACGGGTCCTTCAAAACGCAGAACAGGGTCGAAGAACATTCTAGAAAACGCATGTCGATGCTGGGGAGTCCTCCATGTCTGCATGCCAGTCGGGCAGAAAGGAAACGCCTGGGCAGCCAGACTGTGGAGAAGACGCACGTACTCACAGACCTTTCCTGAAGAACTGGCACTCGGTGAGTCGTTGACAAGTACATGCCAGAACCAAAATGGAGATGTCAGCTGGGGGCAGACGTCATAATTATAAGGGAGCATTTCAAGGGGAGAGTGGAGGGCAGCTCACTTGACCTTGGTAAAGCTGATACTGCCCTGCACTGCTTTCTTCCCCCCACACTCTCTTCTGCTCACCAGGGATTTTCAGAATTTCCAGATGTTTGCGGGAAATACAAACGCAGGCTCCCCGGGTGAGCTTGCTGCTTCCCACGGTTAGAGAACTGAGCACCGACTGGAGCTCCTTGTGGTGCTGACATTTCGCCCTTACTCCCATCAAGGGCTGGTCCCCCTCAGGCCACTGCTGGGGGCTGTCCCCACTGGACAGCACTTGACCGCACTCCCCACATCCCTTTGGAGGAAGCGTTCCGTGGAACCCCCCAGGGGGTGGTGCTGGCTGCCTTTATCTGTGGGAATTGTTTGAATGTACCCCTGCTCCTCTTGGCACAAAAACCAGACCACTCAGGGGCTCCCGCGCTAGCTTCATAGAGGGGGACGTGTCAAGCTACACTGGCTTTTGGAATACTTACTAGGCTCCTTTACGGATGCGCCAATTCCACAATGCCAGCTGGTATCCCCTGACTGTCACCTGTGAAAACTCTAGCCTTGTGCCTCTAAGAGTCTCACTAACTGATGCCACCTCTCTGCACCAAGTCAGCTTCTTCTCAACCGCCTAGAGCTTTGGCCTGTAGGGGAGTCTCGCATCACCGCCCCCACCTACCGTAGGACAGCACAACTAACTGCCTGGGGAAGAAATCCTGGGGGACTTGGGAGCTCTCCGGGACCCCTGAGGCTTCCCATTCGGGCACACATATTCTAGAGAATCAAGCCACTATTGGATGTTAAAGGCCGGTACCTACCAAATCGTTGTATGGATTCTTAGATAACGGGGTCCGCATGAGTGGGGTACAGAGCAGAGGGGAAAGAAGGGGGCAAAGCAAAGAAAGGTGGGGTGGTTACTGGCTCTGGGGACATTCTGCCACCAGGGATGCCACGATGAGAGGAGGCGGGGCTGCAGGGACTAGAAGACTGCAGGGCCCTGGGGGAGAGCGGCCAACAGCAGGCCAGGGAATCCGCACTTGCGGCTGAGGCTAAAGACCCTTCTCCCCCTTAACTGGGTTGCTTAGAGAGATTGAAGAGTAACAGTAAAAAGAGCAACTAACATGTGTAAGACTCACTATTTTTCAAACAGGGTATTAAACACCGTTGTCTGTACTTTCTAACTTAAACGTCACGGAGAGCCCAGCAGGCAGGTATAATATCGTGGCAGCGAGACTGAGGACTGAAGAGAGCCATGCCCACGGTCTCGGGGTCGCGGCTAGGACCTGACGTTCCTGACCTAGAGCCCAGGCGGGACCCACGCGGCAGCGTAACGCGAGCATGATTGAAGGGCGTATCCAAGGAAATCTGGCGTGCAAACATTGTTGAATTTCTGCAAAATTCCTGCTCAGTACCAAGGGTGATGCAGATGGAGTCATTTCGGCCTCCACCCATCCTCTGAAGTTCTATTAAAAGCAATCAATCAAGGCCACGGTAACCATATAGCGGAGGAAATGTGTCATGGCCATGAAAAGGATTCAGACTGTAATCACATATGGGTGGCTGCCTCGGGGAGAGAGTTATGAAAACGGACTATCGAAGTGCTCTCCCCTGGCCGGCCCCTGACCTGAATGTGAAGGACAAGTACGCTGTGGTCCAGTGAGCACCCCAGATAAATTTGCTTCCTCTCTGCCTACATTTCTAAGGAAATAAAAGCCACAACATCCCGGGTCTGGGAACGTGTGCATCTCAAACGTTTTCATCTAAGGTATTTTCTTTTCTTTTTTTTAAATATTTTAAACATTTATTTATTTTTGAGAGACAGAGAGACAGAGCATGAACAAGAGGGGGTCAGAGAGAGAGGGAGACACAGAATCTGAAGCAGCTCCAGGCTCTGAGCTGTCAGCACAGAGCCCGATGCAGAGCTCAAACTCACCAACCACGAGATCATGACCTGAGCCAAAGTCATCCAGATGCTGAACTGAATGAGCCACCCAGGCACCCCCATCTAAAGTATTTTCAATGATTCTTTCTAGAATTGATTCTCAAACCCCTCAGAATATCTGAGAATGGGCTCCGCAAAGCCCATCCTGGTAAATGTTTTGCTTTAGTATGTTGGGAGTTAGGCACTGGTATCTGGGTATATTCGGACACAACAGAGAATCCTGATGCCCATCCAAATCTCAGCACCACTATTTGAGAGTTGTTTTTCCAAGTAGTACAATGCCCCTATCTTGTACTGCGGTGGATGCCAGCACCTTAACGTGAAAGTACCACATAGTGATCGCAGCTGATATTAACATTCATGAAGTCACGGAAGGATGAATAGAACGCATTTTGAAGATAAGATTGGTATTTGGCAACCAAGAAATATACTTAGTACTAAGTTATACATACCAGACTTTTTTTTTTTTTTTTTTGCTTCTGTGAACCACAGTATTTTATTCAAAGTTTTTATCACCCCATATGTTAAAACTATAAATATATTCTTTCTTACCAACTAGCTTTTAAGTTTCTAAAGGACAGCAACTCTTCTTATCCATGCTCAGCCCCAGACCAATGCCTTCACTAGCTGATAGTTGTTTATTCAAGAAACCTCAGTGGAGAACCTAAGACCAACCTTCCAGCCCAAACACCCACTCAAATGCCCGGATGTAAACCTAATTTCAGATGAAAATGAACTTGAGAATTATATCTGGTGGGAGATGCTTTTAATGTCCTCTACGGTATGTTCGAAGTGATTCAATTACATCAGCAAGGACATATTACTAACGATATACCCAGGATGGTGAACGGCCAAGTATTATTAGAGATAGTACCCATTATTTCAGACTGTTCAACAGCAGTAGTTAAGGAAACAAGAAACCCTTGAAGTAAACACAGGCCACGGTCATCTGGATGGTTAGATCACACCTTTGATGCCGTGGTATGCCAGAGGTGGACCTCAGCGTCTAGAGCTCCAATGTGGACTTTTCAAGATGCACAACCCAAAGCAGAAAGAGTTGGCATGGACAGGACGCCAGGTGGGTCTCAGGGGCCAGGGCCCATCACACAACCAGAAGACTGTGGGCTGTGGAGGTGGGGGCCTCCATCAGAGTCTTGCCTCTGACATTCACAAGCGTTTGGATTTCAAGCAAATTACTTAAGTCACCAAGCCTCAGTTTCCTCACCTATATAACGGGGGTAATAAAACCTGGCTCTTAAATTGCACAGAAGACCTGGCACCACACATATCGCAAAGGAAAACCCACAACTTCCATCCACTTCTCTGATTCAGACTGTGGTCTTGGTAAAATTGGTCAATACCTAGATGTTCCTGGTATACATATGTGTGTGTGTGTGTGTGTGTGTGTGTGTGTGTGTGTGTGTGTGTGTGTTCAGCCAAAGGTCAATAGGTTTCAAATGCTCTTTAGATACAGAAACGAAAAATCTCAGGAAGAACAATAAATAAAATTGGTAAGAAATAACCCTCTGGCCTTCCTGGGCTCCCGGGGCAGGGGGTGGTGGTCTGACAGTCACCAGGTCAGATGAGTTCCTAAAAGAGCTGTTGCCTTGATATTCTACAAACCCTCAAAATCATCGGGGCCTCCCCGACCCAGCAGTAGGGGCTCAGGTTGATGATGGCGCATGTCCACAACTCACCATCAAATACTCACAAGGGCATCTAACCTCACCAGCCAAGCCTGCTTCAGCTGAATGTGACAGCAAGCCAATTCTGTTCTTTCAACTTCCCTAGTCTTCCCCGACTTGGTCTCTTGCAATGCCTACAGCCCATGTGGCTCGACCCTTGCAGGCCATGTCTTTGTCCTTCCGTTAAGGCCCTTGGATACAGTGGATCACTTGTGTTTTCATGGAGTCCTCACAAGGTGCTGCTGGCAGAATGGAAGTCGTGCCTGTTGAAAGTCAATACATGCAGGAGAAGACTGGCGGCAGAATGATGGCTCACGAACACTTCTTTTTTCCAATTTAGTTTTGAGAAAGAGACAGCATGAGTGGGGGAGGGACAGAGAGAGAGAGAGAGACAGACAGACAGAGAGAGAGAGAGAGTGAGAGAGAGAGAGAGAGAGAGAATCCCAGGCAGGCTCTGCGCTGTCAGCACAGAGCTAGACGCAGGGCTCAAACTCACAAAACCATGAGATCATGACCTGAGCCAAAACCAAGAGTCGGAGGGTTAACCGACTGAGCCTCCAGGCGCCCCTCATGAATACTTTTAGGCACAGCAAATATGTTTGAGGATGTCTTGATGGTCTGAAATGATAATGCCAGTTAAGCATGGAAGCCTGTGTCGTGTGCTGGGAATGGGAATGCTCAGCTCAAATGATACACCTTCAGCTACACCCACATGCGCATGCTGAGGATCTCACAGACTCTCTCGGTTTTGCAGGTGGAAACCTAGGTAAGAGAAGGCCATGCAATGCACGCTGGTCACTGCCAGGCAGTGGGAGAATCCCCGGGGATCCGGAATCCCAGGCCCAGGGTCCTACTCATCAAATGGCATAACTTCCTTTATACGTGGGGATTTTTCAAATGGATTCATGCCACTCAGGTGACATATTCTCCAATCCATGTAGTTTGGCACTCAGCGTGTCTGGGCCAGTTCTCCACACCTGCATCTAACCAACCAATGTCCTGTGTTAAGTGACTGAACATGATCAGGAAACTCACTCTACACCACTGGCTTAGGAATGATCCCGACTCAATCCCACATCCTAAAGGAAAGCACACATCCTCACTTCTGGTTCCTGTGTCTGTCTCTGCCTTTTCCAACACAAATCCAAGCACAGGTTCTTAGCCATTTCTATGTATAGATCAGATCCCTCAGTATAATCCAGAAGATGTTCTGAGAAGAAAATAAGCGAATTTAGTAGAAAAAATGGACTGGACAATGACTGAGATCTTTCTTGGAGTTAAAGGTTAGGCCATCTGGCTGAAAGGCGTGGACAGCAGCATTCCTCCAACCTCAGTAATGTCCTCTGAATGTAAACAAACCGAAGAAGTAAAAACGGAATGTTTTATAAAGTCCTAAAAAACATGAGGGAGGGTCTGGGTGGCCCAGTTGGTTAAGCGTCCAACTTCGGCTCAGGTTATGATCTCACAGTCTATGGTTTTGAGTACCATGTCTGAGCTGTCAGCACAGAGCCCGGAACCTGCTTCAGATTCTGGGTCTCCCTGTCTCTCTGCTCTTCCCCTCCTTGCACTCTCTCTCCTCTCTTAAAAATAAATAAACATTCAAAAAAGTCCTAAAAGATGTAAAATTGCGTTTTAATTCTTCAGGCTGCAGAACTAAAAAAAAATGACTCTGTTGGAGCTCACTGCCCGGCATGCTTTTTATGTTATGATGTTTGACCCACGCACTGAAGCTATAATTCTTCACCAAGGAGTGATACTTAATAAAGAAATGAACTGAAAAAATGTGTGCATTAAATTTTCAATTTAATGAAAATCCATGGAGTGGGATCACTGAGCGTTGCCGTGCCCTTTCCCATTTGATGTAGTCACTGCAGCCAACGACTCATCTGAAATACTCTTCGTGGGTCTATTTGCACCTCCCTGCATCATTCTGTCCATTCCATTCATTCACCTTTGCCGGACACTCAGCATCATCCACCCGCCAAGCTGGCGACGCGGAGAGAGGCACGTCCTCAGTGGTCTCCACGGTCAGAGCTGCGTGTGAAATCGCTCTGCAAATTTCACAAAAAGTGTTACAAACAGCAGGTGCTACCATTACTACTGCCGTGATTGTTATCATATGACTACCACTGTCCCTCATTTTACCATTAGGCACACGCACTTCCTTTGCACACCTCCTACGTGTATTTCCTACTTCCTCAACATGATCAGAAGCCACTTCACCGGCCCCATGAAAAGTTCAGAGCTCCCGCTTCCTGTCTCTTGCGTGATGTCCCCTAAATGTCAAGGGCTCAAGAAGGGGCTGATAATTTTCTGGAGATCAAATCTATGAGGATCAGGACTCCCTATCATCCAAACCTACGGCCCGTCTCCCTTCTCCCATCCATAGTCCCACTTGCAATTAAAACACTTTTATCTCGTTGGGGGAAAACCATACTTTTTCCATCTTGACCCAGTCCTAGTGATGAAAGGCGATATTAATTGATTCCTAACAAAAAATAAAAGGAGACCCTGATCCGTGCTGACACTGGAGACTAGTCTCAAACAGATCCAGTTTCCCTTCCGTTAGACCCACCACCTGCAGCTGTGAGCAGTGGAGTGCATGCACTTCAACCCCTCATCTAATACTGAGCTGCTCAGCCCCCGGTGACTTAAATATTTCTTACGTTGTTTAATTAAATTCAGGTATGGTTCAGGGGACAGCAAGAGCCTCATGTAGTTAAAATAATGAGAGTTTTTGAAGTTTTAAATCTAGCAGTCTATTAAAAACACACTTGTAGTTTAACTGAGAGCTTCATCGAGTATAGGGGCAATTTTCCAGGCACTGAAAAAGTCAATCATTACCTATAATGATGAAGGGATCAGAAGCAGAATATAAGCTTCATTTTCAGGTCATCAGTTCACACGGCTGAGTGTGCACGGTCTCCATGGGAGTCCACTAAAGACAGGTGCACGCATTCGCGAGCACGCGCGCGCGCGCACACACACACACACACACACACACACACAGACGCTGTGGACAGGTTCAGGAGAGCACGGCCTCAGTCCACTTCTAATGGGATGGAGGGGTCAGTTTTACGAAAACTGAATCACAAACGCTGCCTTTTGCAGATTTTGTCATTTGCAAGTAAACTCAGGTGAACATAAAGAAACAAAAACACCACAATTCCTGGTTGTGCATTCTCCGGGAGAAAGTTCAAGGAGAGCCACAGCGCAGCAGGACGCCTCCTGTGCGCCCGCCGTGGGCACTCGCGCAGGTTAGCAGGTGCAGCACGTGGGCCTCAGCAAAGGAACAAAACCCCGACGGGGATGCCTCGACCTCAGGCAGACCACAGAATCACTAGCCCAAGAAACCTTAGTTCAGAATGACAGCTTCTGCAAGTAACTGATGGAAAGGTTTCATTGCACAGGAACAAAGGTAAAATGTTCATGTAGAAAGACGGCAGCTGTTGCCGAGGCCACTGTCCAGGGCCAACGTCCATCTGTCCAAGCCCCAGGCTCACCACTCACTCCGGACGCCGCCTCATTTCAAAACCCACGGCGCTGGGCATACAGGAGTGCGGGCATCAGTCCAGCTCGTACCAGGCCCCACCCCTGGTCCAACCCGCACTGCCCACACTCTGCTTGGCGCGCTGAACAAACAACACCTCTACAAGTCGTGAAAGAGATGTAAGAACGCAAAACTCCAGGGTGACTAGTTGATAAAAGGTGGCCTTGTCACTGTCGCCCTTGATAGGAACGGGACTGGGGAAGGAGATCCATGCGCAGGACCGAAGTTCAGAGCAGGCGGGGGGGCGGAGGCTGATACAAGTGTGTGCAGTCGTGCACACACGTATGAGATGTAAAAGAAGAGCAGCGACAGGACAGCATGATTGTGGGAATTTCCACGGCTTTCACCTGTGCATGCTGGGTGCCAAAATAGAAATATAACAAGCACCTAAGTGACAGCACGTCCTACCTATCGGTGATATTCTCACTGGAGATACGTGAGGCCCCTACAGGCCTGGCCTCAGGGTAGGTATTTCTGTGGCAATGGTCCACTAGGGAAAGTGGCCTCGGGTCCACCCTCCCACGTGGGCGCACTTACTTGTGTCCAGACTCGTGGGCAATGGTGAAGGCCAGTCCAAGACCTGTATCTTCATTAATAGTACAGCTGCGGTATTTACTGCACATTCCACTGATGGGTGCAAATCCTGCGGGACACAGACATCAAAAGAATGTACAACAGTGTTGCTGCGATACAGTAGAGAGGGTGTATCGTATGTGTGTGCATCGTCTGTCCTTTAGAGAAGTGTGGTTCGCACCTTCGTGAGGTGAAATCTGGGAAACTCTTGGACAAGCGCATAAGGGGTTCTTTGCAACACGAGCGAAAGGGGTCTCCTCTCCGCATGGAAAACAATTCACAGCTCTAAGTGGTGTTCACATCACAGGTTATAATAATGGGGGCCAAGGAGAAAAGGGGAGTCAGTGAAGGTGAAGGAGAATCTCTAGCTTTCTCTGTAAACATCTGTGTTGTAGAAAGCCCGAATAAAAAGGTGCTGTACAGTGTGGGGCACCAGAAAGTCCCCTAGACCAGCCTGGTTCACGGATTCACTAGGAAGATTCATAGGACTCAGGCTTTGTCACACTCACAGGGATAGTTTCACACGGAGAGCAGAGGATGAGAGCAAAATCAGCCAGGGGAACAGGTGCACAGGGAGAGGTCTGGTGGAAACCAGGCACCAGTTTCCAGAGCCTTCTCCCAGCGAATCCATGGAGGACGTGCCTAATTCCCCCCAGAAACATGGGGCTGTCTCATCAGAGACTCAGGGCCCAGGGGTCTTCTCCGGAGCTGATCACATAGCACCCCTGCCTGGCCTGGACCCAAACTGCGACTCCCCGGAAGGAAGGCAGATGTTCCGTGTAGGCCCCGCTATCTGTACACGTGGTGTAGGCACAGCGGGCCAGCTCATCAGGCAGGGGGTCGGGGGTGGGGGAATCCTGGTTCTCGAAAGGCAGGCCTTTCCAGGGACAAACAGTCACGATGAACCTCTGTTCCACTTAGTTCTAGTTCAATACGGTCCCGGGAAGAAATGAGGAATGAGAGAGAACGTCCAGGGCAGTCCTGGGGGGAGCACAGTATGCTTTTCATTCCTTGGAAAAACAACAAAGTGCTGCCTCATATACGTGTAAAAAAAAGTTGCAGGAATTGCGATATTTATACAGCAAAAATGGCGCCTATAACGTTGCCATGACATCTCTACATTCAAGAATGTTCCACTCCTCCCACATAATAGGACATCCCTGAATCTACTGTCTCTGTTCTCACAAAATGAGAAGAGAGAACCAGTTTCTTAGATCAGAAGAGACAGGAGCTCTTGAATCTAGGAGGTACTTTTCCTTAGGAAGTAATCACTTTTTGTGAATAAATGCACACTTTGACGCTTGGCCCGAGTACACACAGGGCAGCACATCTACTCTCCCCCCCTCGTGCTCAGTATGGCACATGCATGCTCCTCCAAACTCCGCGGGAGGGTCTTACCCAGGGTGTCACAGGGCTCGTTCTTCCAGGAACATATGTCCAGGCCAGTCAGCAAGATGGCGTGGTCATGGCGCGTCCCATCTTTGCCCATCAAGCCAGACTGCCACTGGCAGAAGCTATTTAAGGTGTGGTCGGCGTGGTGGCTTATCACAAGCCCCGGCTGCAAGAGACAGACCAAGACCCCGGGATGAGAGAGAGAAAACGCCTTACAATGCCGCTGTCACCCTTTGCCATCACAGCGGCCCATCAGTAGCTCAGATTTCAAATACACAGAGGAATCAGAAGGGTCTACAAGCTCATCTATCCATTTCATGGAATGACATACAAAGGAAGGTGACTTGAACAAAACCTGCATGGATTCGGATAGACGCTTCTGTTCCCTGCTGTAGTTCTGCACGACACAGCTAGGGTGTACTGAGTTGACCCTGAATGCATTTTCGATGCCCCAAGAAAGACTATTTCTGTGCATGAATGTTTGCATCAAAGTCTTTATAAGACACATTGTAAAATTATCTAAGGCAATAGAATCATTTCTGCACATGCAGAAAAATACCCAGACAGCTGATTTCACAACCAAGTAGGGCAAGTGGGATTTCCAATTGATAACTCTTAACCATTTATTACTAAAGTGTTAAATTAAGTCACTTTCCTACCAAAGCAGCATGCTTATGAGAAGGGTCCAGTCAATCGGTAAAGGTCTGTTTTGAGAAAACAGACTGGAACTAGAAAGAAACTACGCAGGACACACCCCCCCTTAGGCATACACACCACGTTCTAACAGAGCAACAGTGAAATATTGGACTGAAGGCCACCTGAACACTTGTGCGATTCAGAAATCAGGGCAGGGGGTGGGGTCAGGAACCACCAGAAAAGGCTGCAATGAGTTGTGTGAACTCTTTATTGCTATGCCGTCCTGTGGCTCGGCCAGAGAAAGTCAGCTTAACCAGCTCGGCTCCAGGACAACTTGGGAGAAGCATTCATGACTAGATATTGGGTTAAAATCTGTGTCTATCAGTCACTGAATAGGTTTTCTGTTTCATCGCTTATTCTGTCTTTCCTGAGAGTCAAGTCCACCTAAGCTGAATGCCATGTGTGCACCAACACTGGGCATGCCTCACATTCCTCAGCTGGTGATTTCCAGGAACACAGCATTAATCAGAGTTAACACAGGTGTACGATCAAAAGATAACCTCGCTTAGTCTTTGCAGCTTGGATGAATTCCAAGGTGAAAACGATTTAATACAAGGAATAATTAACCTGTCACCTGAGACGCCCCACCAGTTCAGCACCCCCCTCCCCAGACACTCACTCACACAAAGACAAAGCAGTCGTGTCTTCCTGACCATTCCAACTAGAAACAGTCTTGCCCACGCAAGCCCCCCGCCCCCGCCCAAAAAAACAGCAATACCCCAGAGGCTTACAGTCTGGAGACATCTTAGATCTGATGAACGACCTTAGGTTTCGTCTAAAGAAAAGTCTTTGTTTTATAAACAAGAAAACTATGGCTACCAGGAGGCCCGGCTAAGATATCAGCAAGGTGCCAGCTCTCTTGTCCTATGAGGAGTCTGTGATCAGCAGGAAGCAAAGCAGAAAGAAGGGTCTTGGAGGCTAAGACATCGCCACCAGCTATGCCACCGAAGGTTCACGTACAACCTCCCTGTGGACTGAAGTGCATGCCGTGCGTTTACACAGGGACTCTGGAATGGAGGCAAAGGAGAGCTTTTCGCCCACTGTGACCAGGGTCCGGCATAATTCAGTGTCCATATGCAATGAGAGAAATGCACTTGACATTCCAGAATCTCCATGAAAATACAACCCTGTGACCCAAAGCAGTGGGGGTGGGTGCAGTCAGTCTTAGGAGTTAGGAGGTGACAGCATAGAACAACGATGCCCAAGAGTGTGATTTCACTGCTGGGCTAGACGGCGGTTCTGGTGTCCCAGCAAAGAGCAGAAGGGCGCTGTCCCATCTGGAACCCTAAATGCTCACGGTGGGGAGGCGGCTTAAGACACATTTTCCACTCTGTCTCCCCTGTGTCTCTCCCACCAGTATATTTAAGGCAGCTCTGCTGTTCTACTTTCTCATAAGACTACTAAAAATAGTCCTTACCACCTCTGCACTCATGCACACACACACACACAAAATTCAAATCATCACGAAATGAATTGGTAAGAAAATCATTGCATGAGACACAAAACATTCAACACTTTTTGTTCCCAAAGGAAAGGAAAGGAAATTTGGGAATCCACAGAATGATCACATTAAGAAAAACGAAATGTCTGTTTCAAAGACAGAATACCTGGTCTTCTTCTAGAAGAATCAGACCTACAATTGCAATGTTGATGTTTCCTCCTATCGTTCCATCTTTGAACAAAGCAGACACCTGAAAAAGACAGGCAATCCCGCTCAGTCCCCACACGTGACGTTTCCCCAGTCCCCAGGGTCCTGCTGGTGAAGGCTAGTCCCCGTGGCTTTGTGACACAGTCAAAGTCAATGCTGACTTCTCATAGTGCTAGACAGACAGGCACAGAAACACCTAATGGCCAGGCAGACCAATCGTTGAGTCCTCATTGTTGGTGCCTGGGAGTAAGTGCTGAAGCTTGGGGAGGTGAGAACTCCTCTTAGGGAACAGCAGTGAATGTACTGTAAGGCTCCAAGGGGATAAAAGGTCTCGTCTCATCTGCACATAATGGAATGTTTTAGTGATCACTGCCGGGGCATGTGGTCCCCACGTTCTCCGGGGACAGGGCGGGGGGGGACGGGACTCCAGAGGAGCTCCCAAGAGAAATGCATAGGAAGAGACCCAGAAGACCCAAGAAAGAGAAGGCCTACGTGTGGAAAGGAGATGACCAAAGAAAGGTGCCAGCAAGGGATATGACGACAGCAGACGTCAGTGACTGTGACCGACGTTCATGGTGATGAGCAAAGGCCCCTCGAGCCGGTTCGGCGCCGAGGCGCAATTACTGGAACAGCTTGACAAAACGGAAGCAACTTTGGCACAAACCAGAGCCCTGAGGTCCTCAGTCCCTGGAGGCAGTGGCAGGTGCGCCCCGCCCCGGGGGATGAGAAACCATGTGACCAGTAGTGACGCTAGGAGGAATCCCCGCGTGCTGAGGTGGAACAGAAAGTGTGTTTTCTAAATACTGCCATCCCAACTAATGTTCATAACACACTCGGGCGACCCAAGATCTTGTCTTCTGTGAACTAGGTGTCACTTAGTCACCCAAATGGGGCTCAGATGCCTCTCATGGCTCCTCATCATTACAACAAGCTGTCAATCTGGGACACAGGACATTTCACCTGGGATGACAAGTCTACAGGGTTGGATGCTTTTGTGGCTCTCGATGAAATGATGTATATTCAATATTTAAGCATTAATGTTCCTACAGAGACCGGCATTTCTATACAGGCATCTAAAACCACACACAGTCCTGATGGGCAGGCTTATGCACTGAGCTGTCTCAGGATCCTCTTACAGATTTCTGGTAAATGAAGACCTTGACCCCCTCAAACCATGCCCCCCGCTCACAGAGAAGGCCAGACTGTTCTCTGGAGTTCTGATGGCTCTTTGATGGGAGCCTGTGAAGAGTGAAGGGGTCATCACAGATAAAACGTATCTCTTGTGTCTGAGGCATAGACCCAATCCCATTAGATGGGATCACCCACAGGTTCAACAAGAAGGACCTTCCTACCATGTTGAGTATCGTCAGCACGTAGGTGGTGATGTTTTCGTGGCCGTGGGCCCGTATCATCTTCCTGTCCACCACCACCAGCGTCTCCACATTCAGCTCCTCGTTCCTATGGGACTTGAGAAGAGAACGCTTGTGCCTTGAGCAAGACGCATACTCATCAGGCAAGATGAAAAGGTCTTCCTCGGGAGGCTGGGGCATGTCTGCGGAGGGAACGTTCCGGGAACAAATGAAAGCAGAAGGCGTCACCCAAAACCAGCGGTGGAACAGACACTGTTATGCAGACACCAGAGTCTCACAATGAAAGCTCGAGACAGGAGCCACATCACCCTTACAACACTGTGATGCAAAACCCGTATTAGCGTGAATCTTTAAATTTAAATAAGGTTCATACAACCTAGGTGTGATGGAAACCATCGCCATCTCTACTGTCTATAATTCTGTTCTGACTTAACACAAAAAGAGGGCACCTTGGTGTTCACGAGCTAGTCTCCAGGAGCACAACGTTCAAAGACCATTGGCATAAAGATCTGTCAAACAGCGTCTGTAGGAGATTTACCGACAACAAGGGGAACTAATGGTTACAACCCAGCGCTATCTTGCATCGGTTTCGTACTTGAAGAATTTTAATGGCCTGATTCTTTTTTTAAAGTCCATTCCCATGTCTGGACGCATCGCTGGTTTATCTGTCATGTTTCAAATGGGCTTACAGACTTCGTGACACAGATCTACTCCATTGCAGAGCCCAGTTTCCTAGAAAGTAGCATAAATATTTACCTCATTTAATTACGAAACAAAATACTCTCTGTTCTCTTGGAGCCATTTAAAAATAGTTTTGGCATTTATAATCAGTGAGTTAACACTATGCTAAAAATGAGTCAGCTGTGTGGATCTTCAGAAAATGTGGTTAGAATTGTTTCATGTGAAAACAGACTTCAAAGAACCCACAAACGTAGGTGGCACTAATTCAAAGCTATGCCAACTCTCTTCGTGGACCCCGTTGCCAGAAGATGCCAATTTTTTTAGTGGTACCCAAATCTAGCGCATATTCTCCCTTTGCTAAAATACTTTAAAACCTAAATGAACCCTCTGGAAGATAACAATGACTCTGGCAAAGCTATTAAAGCACCGATCGCACGCCACTGACATTGATGCCATTAGAGACGCCTGACTGCACCCTCTGAGCTCTCTCTACGCCAGCTCTGGGTAGGGATGGGCCATCGAGGCACGGGGCGGGGTGGGGTGGTAACCTGCTCCCAGCCCCTCCCTAGGAAGGGTCAGAAATGGGTGTCCAATCTGGCAGCATGGTCCCAGAGCACGTGGTTCATCCTCATTATTGATTTTAAGCAAATCAATCTGCCCTTGATCGCCATTTCCCATAGGTGCCTAAGCGCACACCAAAAGATTCCCATTTTTGGAACCAGAGACTCTAATGGGAAGAATCTTCGTTAAATATGACCCCCTCCCGAGCCAGAAGGCTGGGACTTCTCCAGGGACACCCAAAGCCCCATAAGCAACACGGGAAGATCCAGGCACAGACAGCGGAGGCCCCGAGAACTAAATGCTTCAGCTCGGAAGCAGCCTGTGCCCCCGGTGACCGCCACACGGGCCCCAAGCACTCACAGAGCTACCACGTGCCCAGCAGGGAAGGGACAGAAACGTCTGACCACCAAACGGCACCACATAGGTCACTAATGTCTTCTAAGAGGCATTTGGTGACACTTTCTTCTCTAGTTTTATGATGAAAACAAGAGCTACTCTACCCCCCATTTTTCAAATAAAAAACTTCTCAGTTTTTCTTTTCCCAAATAACTGCCTTGCACCAATCAACCCCCACTCTTGAGATTCTGAAGAGCCTGCCCAGGCAGCACGAAGGTGCACGTGTGCGGGAGGGCACCCACACGCACACACACACACACACACACACACACACACACGGCCAACAGGGTGACTTCACGGCCTGCGTGCTGGGCTGTGCCCTAGCTGTTATTGGCCTGCATGGCACTGATCACCCCCTTCATTTCAGCAGGTCCACACCGCTGGAGTTTCTCAGGGCCCACTACTACATCGGCTTGGAACCCTGGTGCGGCCCGCCGAAGAGGGGAAGACACTCCTGCCAGGATCCAGGCGCTTGGCCGTCCGTCCCCGACACGGAATCTGTCCTGGACAGAATTCTGGCTCTGACCTCGTCCACACCTGAGCCCTGCCTCTGGGCCCCGCCCCTGCCAGGTCCCACCCGCTGCCACCTTCCCCTCTGCCTCTCCCTGTCCATGCAGCTGCCGCAGCTGATGCCCGAACGTCCATCCTGTTCTGACACCCACTGAGCCTCGGTCTCCCCGACTTTCTCAGACTCCTGTTAACCTCTCTCTGTCCCCAGCCCTTCTCTTCCGGCAGACTGAGCCCACTCACTCAGTCGGATTAGACTGGAGTTTCTTGCTTGAACACAGTATAAGGCTTTTATTTACAGGATAATGAGTTCAGATGACACACAGGTGCTGACAGGCTAATGGTACTTGCTGTTCCGCTGTAAGTACCAAGTGATTAGGGGCCATGCACTCCACTCCACCTGCAGCGTGACCCTCTCTATCTTGGGGTGCCGGGTCCAGCAGCTGACGAGACCGGCAGGGGAAGATGGGCTGGGAGAAGACGGGCTTCGAGGAGCCCCAGCGGGGGAAAGTTTAACAACAAAGTGGTGCTGGAGGGGAAGCTGGGGGAAGTGAAGGCGATTCCAGAAAACACTGAGCTTTAAGAGGCTCCCACATAAAATGCAAATATCACATCACCTCCTCAGCGCTCACCACACAACAAAGGATTCCACAAAGTGCTGGTGATAAATGGTAGCTAAATTATGCCATGCGTAGCCTGTCCTTTTGATGTGGTGGAGTAAAGTATAGAAATACGCATGGAGATAAATTACCTCACGGAAAACTATGTGGGTTTTCACAAATCTAGACCTCAAAACTATAGAATTACTGAGCGGACGTGCCGGAGTCCTTTTGATGACTTCCAGTGGGCTCTGCGTCTCTGGGCAGTACGTCATCTCATCTGCTCGGGAAACAGCTCTTTGGAACAAGAAAAACCTACCGCTATCTGTCCATCCATCACGAGAGACGTTTGCACACCAAACGACAGAATCAACACGTAAGTTCAGTGAGGACATGTCGCCCAGTAGTTCCACATCGCGGGCGGACACTCGGAAGAAAATGCAAACACCTCGTCAGCGTGCACAAATGTTCAAAAGGTTAAATGCACCAAGAGAATCGCCCTTACATACATTTCTTGCGTCTGCCACAAAAATGCTGCTTTTGTGGGTGCCGGAGGGTCGAGCCGCCTTGAAGGTGCGGAGTCCCCAGCTCCCGATCCCGCGGGGTCAGGACCGCCTGGGGAGCCCCCGGAGCCCGCTGGTCCACGGACCTCTTGTACAGTATGTGGGAGGGGGGCCCAGCCCCGGCGGCGTCCCTGAGGGTCCCCGCCGGCTGGGAAGGGAGCGGCTTCAGGAAGTAATCGGCTTCTTGTGTTCTGATCATGCCCGACTGGAAACAGAGAGGAAGAGAGAAAGGACAGTTACACCTCCTGACCGGAGGACGGCCACACGCCCAGCATCACTTCTCCCTTATTTGTTCTCTGGCACCTGCTCCGCCCCCGTGGCCGAGGCCGAGGACGGAAAAGACTCCTCACCGAGCTCTTCCCACTGGCGTTGTCCTACGAAGATGTGGGTGGAGGTGCTCCAGGACGTGCGGCCAGGGACACAGGGGGCTCCCCGTGCATGAACGGGGGTTCATTTAACCCAGATAATGGAGGAGAGGGCTCACGCACACCACACAAACTCACGTGTTAGTGCGGTGCAGGGGTGCCACGCAAGAAGACCAAACTGCAATCCTAATGGTCATTTACAAAACTCCTTCCAAACTTGAATATGATGTGGCACTTGATGTACGAGTGTGTAACTTAAATTTCATGCAGAGGAAAACAGAAGACAATTTACCTAGGGTAGCGGGAGGGCCTTTCTAAGCAAGGCATTGTGGAAACAGGAACAATCTAACTCATAAAAACACTAAAAATATCTGGAGAGCAAAAGTAGCTTTAAGAAAACACTAAAAGCATTGTCAAGGAGGCAAAATGGAGGGACCGCCTTTTGCCTCTTAGAGGGACAAATACTTTTAAGACCCGCTAGTAACAAGTGTTGGAGAATCCACGGCAACGTGGTGCTCCGGAAAAGCGCACACGGGGGCAGAGCCGGGAGGTGGCTGCCATGGTTTCCCGCCAGGTCCACCAGCTCTGAGCACGTGCCATCGGGTCTAAGGAGCGATCCTTCTGGAATGCTTCCCCAGGGCTTCACGTAGGCAGCTCCCCAACACGATCAGTATATATGACTGTACAGTGCAGCATTGTGGGTAAGAGCACAAATGTACAGACAAAACAGACAATAATAAAGATAAATCGTTAAAATGCCTACCAATTAATTCAGGGTAATGTTTTTAAAGAATATTTGTATATTTGAAGAGAAAAAAGATCAGATAATTATGTGCTGATGATAGTCATAATAAAACATTTTATTGGGTCGCCTGGGTGGCTCAGTCGGTTAAGCATCTGACTTTGGCTCAGGTCATGATCTCACGGTTTGTGGGTTTGAACCCCGCATCAGGCTCTGTGCTGACAGCTCAGAGCCTGGAGCTGCTGCAGATTCTGTGTCTCCCTCTCTCTCTGACCCTCCCCTGCTCATGCGGTCTCTCTTGCTCTCATAAATAAATAAAACATTAAAATTTAAAACAAAAACATTTTTTCTTGAGTTCCTGAGGCTATGGATAACATTTTCTGTATAATGCATTATTTAATTTTTTTAAATTTATTTATTTATTTTGAGAGAGAGAGAAAGCAGGGGGAGAGGCAGAGAGAAAAGGATGGAGAGAATCCCAAGCTGGCTTCACGCTGTCAGTGCAGAGCCCAACATGGGGCTCAATCCCATGAACCTTGAGATCATGACCTGAACTGAAATCAAGCGTCCAACACTTACAGGACTGAGCCACCCAGGTGCCCCCATAATGCTTTCTTCACCTCACTGACTGCAATTCTGTGATGTGGGCATCACACCACTCCCTTCTCAAGGGTGAGGACATAGAGGTACAGTGGTTCGCTTCCATTTCCAAGGCAACCTGGCTGGGAAATACAGTAGGGATTCGAACAAAATTGGAATATGCTTGGAACCTGCACTTATACTACAAGGGTTTCCAAAACAGATTGAATTTATAACGTGCTTAATAGATGGTGTGAACACAGATCCCAACTGTGTCCATTTTAAAAGGGGGGCTGCACGTAGAGACCCTCTCTGGAAGAAGCCAGAGCCATCGTGGGTGGCTGTGGGCAGCTGTCTTCGGGGAGAAGCCTGCAGGAGGGGCCCTCCTTGCATCTTCGTATCTTTCTGCACTGCGCGTATTACATAAATAATGTCAGTGGCACTGCTGGATTACGGGGTTACGGACGACTTTTTACACCCCTTATAAACGTTATCTGATGTTGCCCTAATTTGAGAATGTGATGAGTTGTCTCCGCAGAAATGTCCAGCTGTCACTTAGAGCTCTCTGGTGCTAAACTACCAGTCTTACAATTGTGCCGGCTTTTCCCAAGTCACTTTGATGATTTCCCACACCGAGTCAGACACTGATTAAGTACTCAGAGGTTGATGCGTGCATCCCCGTTCTACGTGTGTCTCTGATTTGGAGGCTGAGTCTGATTCTCATTGAGGTGGTTGCCGTGTGTCACTTTCATGTTGGGCTGGGCTGTCCTGTGAGTCCTAACGTCTGCAGGCTGTGGGATGACAGGCTGGGGTGGGGGGCAGGGAGCACTTCTTAGATCTTGGGTAAAGGGACGAACAGAACTCTAGGGTCGGGGGTGGGAGAACAAAAAGAAAGGGGAGACCAGCTTATTGGACATTCAGAGAATAAGCATTGGCCCGGGCGTCCCTGCTCGTGGGGAAGAGGGTAAACTGGGTGAATTATCAAGGAAGCCATCAGCACCATGGGGGGTAGCCCCCTGGGGCCCAAGTACCACCTGGCAGTGGAAAGGTAAAATACCTGGAATTTTTGTCTTGCATCTCAGCAGGGGAGGCGCCTCTCCCGCAGGGCTCTGTGGGACTGACCTGGGAATCTCAGAATCCTCTACAAGGCCACCTGCTGAAGGTCACCATTTTATCAAGAACAGACAAAGGCAGAACTACAGAAAGGCTCAGGCAGGGGGCGTTCACGGTGTGTGCAGTTAAATTAACCCTGCAGACATCCTGTGTCCACACTCTGCAAGGTGAGCGGTTCAAGTACTAAGCCCAGAAAAAAAGAGATTTCATCTTACACCTTAAGGAAACCTTCTCTGACGTGTAAACAGCTCCTTGTCTTTCTCATCACGCCTCAGAGACCATCAGCGCCTGGGGAATGTGGAGGTGTCCCCGGGGCTGCCTCCCTGGGGTCCCAGTGGACTCGGGGAGCGGCCACCTGAGCCCCACGCCCTGGCATTCACCATCCACGGCAATAATACGACCTGTGTGCCTTCCGATGGTCTACTCAGCCTCTCTGTGCTGTGCTGTTCTCTAGGAAATGGGGATCAGGCTAGCTGCCCGTCAAGGGTTTGGAACAGTCATCAATTTATGTCTTCTAAACACACGGCCCGCAGAAAAGATGCAAAAAAGATGGGCTGAGTTAATGAAGCAAAGAATGTAAAATATCACACTTCACCTCTGCTGCTCGCTGATCCTTTTCTGATTACTCAGGGGTTCTCTGGAGGATTTTCACTGTACAGCACGAGGACACCTCCCCTCCCCGACACCCCAGTGCTTGTGCACCCCAACTCCACCATCCCCAAACACAAATCTGCTCTGGCCTCCTGTCTTCCTTTTTATTCTTCCGGCTTCCACATCTAAACACTGTGTCCTCTGACAGCTGTTTCAGGCTCAAAAACCACTCCTGCTCCCCCCCCACTCACCCCCCCAAGTTCGAGACACCGCTGTGGGTGCCTGAGTCTGAGAGCACCAGATCCTCAGGCAAGAGTGACCTGCTGCAGCGGGAGGACTTCCTAATACTCATTAGCAAGGGCGTCAACCCCAATTTCACGAAGTACAGAGAATATGAGAACTGATCGGACCGCCATTTTGATTTCCCTCAGAATACACAGACACTGAAAAATACAGAGAAAGTAACCTTTTTCTTGCTTCATCATTAGCTTGCAAGCTTCCTGAAAAGGTTAGATGAATCATGGGGGATTAATGTTTTCTTATTAAAGTTGGTTTTTATCGAATCAAGAATATTTGTTTGGAAAGTCACCAAACGTCTCGTGCGCACCTGCCCACAGTGAGCACCGGGATGTCGGCTGGGTGGGTTATTAGTCTGCTTTCAGGAAAGGGCCAGTGGGCTCCGAGCTCTGCAGACGGGCTCTCCAGGGGCCTGCATCTCCCCCAGCCGGCTCTGTAAATCATTTTACATTGGGAAATTCATCTAATGCTCATGCTGCACTTACAGGGAAGGAAAGAGCATGTGCTTTGCTGGTGGTCAGAAAATGCTGTTTCTTGCTCAGCAATGTATGCAAAGGAAACGCTGAAGCTCCAACGTCAGATTGTGTGAGAGTCGTTTTTTTTTTTTAATTTTTTTAATGTTTGTTTATTTTTGAGAGAGAGAGAGAGAGAGAGAGCACAAGTGGGAGAAGGGCAGAGAGAGATGGAGACAGAATCCGAAGGAGGATCCAGGCTCTGAGCTGTCAGCACAGAGCCCGACTCGGGGCTCGAACCCATGAACCCTGAGATCATGACCTGAGCTGAAGTCGGACACTTAACCTACTGAGCCCCCAAGCACCTATGTGAGAGTCAGTTTTATCCACAACTGAAACTTGTTGGATTTCTACAGACAAATACGTTAAACAGAACACATATCCACAATAATAAGAAATTATACTTGACATTAGGGCAGGTTTTTCAGAGAGGGGGGAGAAAAGGAATCTTTCGATAAACTATCTTGGGAAAACTGTCAGCTCTTTGGAAAAAAGAAACCTAGATTTCTTCTTTCTTCTGTTCACCAAAATAATGGTCAGGTGCAGTAGAGAATGATGAAAAGTAAAAAAGATTAAATGAAATATATATTTGTAATTTTGGTGTAGACACTTTCAAACAGGAAACAAAATCAGGAAGCCGTGAAGAAATGGATTGATAAATATGGGTAAATACAATGTTTGGGTGTGGTGAAAAATACCATCAAGTCAAATGACAAGCTGGCAGTAATTTTTTAATGTTTATCTATTTATTTCAAGAGAGAGAGAGACCATGCGAGCAGGGTAGAAGGGCAGAGGGAGAAAGAGAGAGAGAGAGAGAGAGAAAGAGAGAGGATCCCAAACAGACCCCATGCTCAGACTGGAGCTTGACACAGGCCCAATTCCGAGACCATGAGACCATGACCTGAGCCAAAATCAAGAGGCCGATGATCAACAGCTGAGTCACGCAGGCGCCCCATTTAGTGGGAATTCTTGAATGCGTGTGACAAGAACTATGATCCTTAAAAAC